ATGTATGGGGCATTCTGCATAGTAGTTGCAGGCTGAATCGACCCTGCACCATCCCAATTCCTAGATTTGTCATAAATCACATCATCTCAATATCAATCCAGCTACAATGTTTGATGTGTTATTTTTTCTTATCTCAGGAAGAAAATAATCCTTTTTGGCTGATTGCATGTGAATTTGTCTCTTATCAACATGTAGGGAAAAGAATAATGGTTTCAGTGGGAAATATTTTTATCTATGTTCCATCCATTTCTTCAGTTAAGGCGTGATTAGTTGAGCAGTGATACGCAGCTGATAGTAGCTCATTGGTTAATCTTGCTCATTACACAGGGGATTGCCAGTTTAAAATCCCCAAATTGCTCTGGTTAAACTTCTATGTAGTACATTCTAAAGTTTTCTATTGTCCTTGAACAATTTGAAAATAATAGTACTACTAACCTTTCCAGAGTCCTAAAAAAATTCAGTTGAGTTTGCTTCCACTTGATGGTGTATTGTGGACGGATCGAAATCGCAGAGCCCAATCTTTTGCATGTATTAAACAATATATACTACTTCGTATACTTAATTAATCTTTGCAAAAGAGGCACCAACATGCCAGGTATGCAAATGCCATTTTCTAATTCCTCTGCATACTTTAGAAGCCAAAAGCACCCAAATTTTGTATTAAGATGTTGCTCTAGTTCAAACACCTGTCTCACAGCATCTTTCTGAATACGCCTTTGACAGCAATATAAAATTATCTACCAAACTATGCTTGCCAATTGGTTACAGCTCTGCTTGAATCCTAGATCTGGACTACTACAATTTATTTTTTCTTTTGTGTCTGTGTGTGAATAATGGATACTTTTTCTTGCTACAAACCATTCCCTACTCTTTGTTTTAAACTGTCACTGATCCATTAGAAGCTTTATATTTATGAGTTGTGATGCATGCAGCTCATTATTGACACCAGGTGCTTGTCTTTTGTTAGCAACATCAACACTAATTGCGGGCTAATGAAAAAAATCGAAACACAAGAAGATTGGAAGAATAAAACAGCCAAGGTCAGACAGATCAAAACACAAATATGTTCCATTCCACACTCAAGACATCCTAGGAAGTTGCTTGGAACTCATCAGTCCTCACAAGTCATAGGCATGCACAATGTCCTTAATTCCACTCATACATAATTATCTGGTAAATTTAGTATTATCTAGTTAATTTCCTATTTTGCCACTTCTAGTATGTGACCAAATTCATTATATACTTATAAAGAAGAGTATTTGCCCAAATTGCAGGGCCATTGCACTTTTACTGTCTGCCAATGTGGCCAAAGTTCAGACTTCACAGACATACCTTGAGGACGGCTGACCTTAAAATTTACAGCAAGCACTAATTAAATTATAGTCCATCAGTTAGCCGGTAACAACCGAGGGTTTGTACGGAATCCATCGTAAAAAGAATTGGCAAAGACAATTTCTGACTGCCAATGGTGCATGGCATCTACTGCTGGGGGCACAGTACTAATCCCCTGTTAATGATTGCCTCGGGAAGCGTGATTAAACAAAAGGGAGGCTGTCTTATCAGCATAACAACACAACAAATCAGCAAGTGACCAATGGCAGCCTAGTTTTATCTCTGCCATGTGGGATTGTGCCATCCATCCTTGCAGACAGGGAGTACGACTAATCCCAAAAGATAATCACGCTTATTAGCGTCCGGTCAAGATCTAACCACCACCACCCCCCCTCCACCCTCTGCAACTCGATTGCATCTTGTACCTTCATTGGACTCTCACATTTGGCCCCCACTAGCCAGACCATATCACAAGAGATTAACCAACAAAAAAAAATCTTGATTTTGATTTGCTCAGATCAAAATGTGATTCACAAGAAATTAACCAACAAAAGGTGTTTTCTTTTTGCAAAACACATACATACATACACTCACCTCACAAATACACACATATACAACATATCCTTATAAATATCTCTAAAAACTGAACCAGCGTATCTTAAAATTAGCAAAGTCATCGTAAACGTTTTACGGTCGACGGATACACCGCTTACCATTAAAATGTGGTTCAAAGTTTGTAACTTCATTGCAATATAGCTTGGCAACAACTTATCTGAATTTCTCTAGGAACATGACCGTAACCCATTTGGAACAAAGAAATTTTGGTGTTCTCGTTGGAAAACAATCCACATTGCTTGCTAATCTCGCCGCATTGGGTGCAAAAGAAGCCGATGCTGAATCAGACGACGTCTTCCTTTTCGGCCGGCCCGTGTTTACAACTCATCACAGGCTGCTTATTGTTAGGAACACACTATACTATATCTCAAACAGTGTTACGTTATGTCAAAGTGTTATTTTAGCAGGGCAGCTTTAGTAGTGAGTGAAGGAGTAAGTTTCCAGCCGTGCAGGCACTAGTGCTCCACTGGTGATGATGTGGAGAAAAGAAAGCTGCTTTTTACCGGTGTCTGTCCTTCACTGTCTGTCAGTCACAAACTTCTTGGTAACATGGGCTCCAATCATTGAATAACCGAGGAGTAGTAGAAAGTTTTCAGTACTGCTGCTGTATACTGTGATTACTGTAGTAGTATTGGGCAGTAACTGCAATGCAAGAGAGGCAGGGAGATGCTGTGACAGAGGGAGAGAGGTAGGTGCATAGGGTTAAATAAGGGAGGACTCACTTGGACTCGCTTCTGGCAGCCACGACTTCTTTCAAACAATTTAGGCTTTTTTATTATAAAATTATATAGCTGTAAAAATCTAGAAAATAAATTTGGAAACAAAGACTAAAAACCTGGTTTTCTAAATTCTCACCAACTAATTATTTACTAGCGGCTTCTCGAAATCTCAAACTCCCCTAAATAAGACCTAGCCAGGAACCGAAAACCATCGTCTTTTTTAGATTTTCATCAGCTGGATACTACTTACTAGCCGACTAGCCGCTTCTTATAATCTCGAGCTAGGATGCAGTGCTGAGGATAGATAGAGAGATAGGCCGATAGACAAGTGGCTTTCAGAGTAATTGGACAGAGATATCATTGGGAATTGTTTCGCCGCAGGAGGCAATGGCGTTGTAGATGTGTAGAGGCTGAGCTCAGTAGCGGTAGAGTAGGGCCTCTCGTTGCTGTTGGATGCCGGGTGCATCATCGATCGACACCAATCAATCATGCAACCTGCCCTGGCCTCCTCCTGCAGCAAATGCCATTCACTTTCACATTCAACATTCACATTCTCCCAGTAAAATACCAACAGATGCAATGCAAGAGCAGGTGAGTTTTCAGAGTGGCAATGGAGCGAACTGATCGGATCATGCAAAGGTGTAGTACAGTCCAACTCTGAGCGGTCAACACTCTACGATTGCAGATGATCACAGTGAGTAGGAGTACATGTATGAAGAAGTACTCCTATGATGCATTGCCTGCTACGAGTAGTAAAAAGCCGTATGAGTAAATGTTGCAAGTGGAATTCTGGGAGATTTAGATTCAGACATTCATCAGATTCAGGTAGGAGTACATGTAGTAGTACCAGTAAAGCTTCTGCCACTAGGGGTCTGTTTTAAGAGCTTAAAATTCTGAGAAGCAGTTGCTAGAAGCTAGCTGGTGAGAATCTAGAGACCTAGCTTTTGACTTCTAATTCATTTTCTAGATTCTACAACTACAGATTCTTAAAATCTGGGTAAGAAGCTGAACTGTTTGGAGGAGCTTCTGACAACTGAAGATTCTAAGAGAAGCTGCAGCTGTTAGAAACACCTCTAAACAGGCCCGGTCACCTATACCGAAGAACTCTACTACGAACATCATGTGTTTCGTGTTAGGACGATGTACGTACGGCTGGTCTCCAAGTCCTCGTCAGGATCGAAGGAAAAACTTAAGGAATCTAGTAGTAGTAGCACTTGCTGGCGTGGAGCATCTCTGAATGTGTCTGAACGATTCCTGTACTGCTGGATTCTCCCGCCACGAGACCAAAGTCCAAACACGAGTCTCATCATTAGCTTAGCACTAGTACCCCCGTGCAATGCATGTACTGCGTGTGTGCTGTGTTTTAGTAATACGCTTGAAACCTAGGGCAGGCACACCACCGCGGATTGCCGTGCACGCGCGAGCGCCGCGCGTTGTCCCACGCCACGCCACGGCGCGCGCGCGCGCGCGGCAGATCGGCAACGGCACGGCGCCCGCGCCCGCGCCCGTGCGCCCCGGTTGAATTGACTGGACGCCCGCGCGCGCACTGGCGCGACACAGCGCGACGCGTCGCGGCGCCTTCCAAGTGGGCGTCGGCGTCGCCGCCGGCGCCGGGGAGGAACGTCCATGGCGCGAGCGCGAGCGCGGCGCGGCCGGTCAAAATCTTCTCTCTGCTGGTCGAGCCGTCGTCTCGTCTGGTCAGAGTCACACATCGCTGCTGTCCCTTGGGACTCTCGACACGCCACGCAGCGCTTCCTGCCACTGCTGCTGCTGATGCTGATGCTGATGCTGCCGAGGTGAAGAAAAATCCATGGCGGAACACGCGCGAGCAGTGGCAACTCGCTCGAGACCGTGGTACTCTTGGATGTGCAGTGCAGGGCACACAGTCGAGGCTGCTGCCTGTCACCTGTGTTGTTGTTGTTGTGGTGGTTCATCGATGACAAACCGCAAGGATTCGGAACGGACGGACGCAAGCAACGCAGCGAGCTCGTGCTCTGTCGCTGGCTGCGTGTGCTGTAGCTTCTGGCACGGACGGGCTCGTGTGTGTACAGCGCCGTGTTGATGCTCTTGGCAGGGTGGGCAGTACACACGCCGTGAGGTCAGACTCGTTCAGTGAGGTCGACAAGAAACTGCAACAGTGAAGAGTCAAGCTGGTGGTCAATGATCAGTTCTAGACAACTTAGTACTACCTCCATCCTAAATTATAGTAGATACTCCATCTGTTTCAAATTATAAGTCATTTTGACTTTAGTCGTCTCAAGTTTAATCAAGTTTGTAAAATACAATAGTAACATTTTCAACCCAAAACAAATATATTGTGAAAAATATATTCAATTATAGATTTGATAAAACTAATTTGGTATTGTAAGTGTTACTGTATTTGTATACAAACTTGAACTTGGAATAGTTTGACTTTGACCAAAGTCAAAACGACTTATAATATGTAATGGAAATAGTGCATAGTTAAAAGTTGCTATATTTTAGGATGAATGTAGTACTAAGTTACATGTAAATTCCACGCTCATTTCACCCGAGGATCTGATGATCTTTGCTAACAGCTGCAGTGCAAATACGTTGAAGACTCCAAGACCATTGCGACAAGGCAGATTTTTCAGATTCTGTCCCATCAGGGGAAAAAAAGTTCAGAGGACATGAAAAAATTGTACCATAAATTAAGGATGGTTTGAACAATACTTTGAACTTCGAAGTAACACGATGAACATGAAGGAAACAGCATCCTTTTTTGACTGAACTCTTAAAAGGACCACTGAACCGCTGTTTTGAGGAGGCGCTACACAAGCTAACTCTTCGTTGTGTGGAACATCAAAGACGACCTTAGAGCTCACTATTGCTAGCACCACCGGTTGTCTTTCCATTGACGGCGATAAGCTCCGTGTCAAAGATTAGTGTTGCTCCACCTATTGGTTACGAAACCGTATGTCAGTATTATAGGTAAATGGGAAAAAACTTATCACATGCCCTGTTGGCAATGTAAAATGTAGGTGTGAAACATGGTAAAATAGCCATGTCAAAGTTGAGAATCTACACATGGATAATTCTTTCACAAGAAACCATCAAGCAAACAAACAAATATTCAGACCATACCTGGAATCTTCGGTGGGGAGCCTCTCTCCCCATAACCCATCTTTGCAGGTATCTTTAGCTTCCTCTTTTCACCGACACACATACCTAGTAACCCTTGGTCCCAACCTATAGATAAAAACAACAATGTAGGTTGTTGGATATGCGAAGGCCATTGATATGAACTGCACAGTCCATTTCCTATTTTTGATAACATCCTTGGTCATTCAAGCTACCTCAGTATGGACTATGGATAAATATGGAGAAGTTCAGTATTCCAGGGAAAAGGAATAACCTTTTATCACTTGGCCGTTTCCAAGAGTAAATTCAAAGGGGTCACCTCTGTCATAGCTAGAATCAAACACTGATCCATCAGTGAGTGACCCCTGCAGCATTATCAACCATTTCAACTCAATGATGGAAATGTGGAAATAAACTATGCAGGAAAGTACCACAATTTTTTTTTCTTTAACAGTTGTAAAAGAGGTCTTTTAACAAACATGACAGGGAAACCAGGTAAAACACACAATAAAAGACAGAATCTACACTGTTCATTCAGCAATGTAGTTTATCACTCTATCCACAAAACTATTTAATCTGATCCGTTAAATAAAACATGAGTATGTACAGATCCATAGTCCAATGGACGATGCCTTCCATTATATGCAGTACAACACGATAGAGAAAAACAAAACTTAGTTCTAGTCCTTAACATCCAAGTTAGTGTAGTTAGCTGCAATCACTCGTTCTTTGAGTTTCAACCACTCAATCAGGTTTTATTTTAAATGTTGGAAGTTTCTAGGATTCATGTGGGAATCGAAATGTTTCAAGTTACTTTTCATATTATTAACAAAGATATGGAATACTTACACGATAATGCACTTTGATTTTGTCTCCTTTGTGAGCTTGCAGGGTGCATGACTCTGGCTTGTACTGAAAGGAGGATAGCCAAAGAAAACTTATGCTATGCAATGCAGTGAAATGCAGAAATGCTTAATTTTAAACGTAAAAACAGAACAATCCTAACTTTGCAATGATTGTCTTTTTCCTGTAGGAACTGAGCGTTGAAATCAAAATATGCAAAAAACATTCAATAACAACAACCGTCCCCCCCCCCCCCCCCCAAGCACACACTTTCATTTGTGATGTACTATCTGCTTTGAGCCGGTCCATTCAGCACATGAATAGATCAGGTGAACATAAGCAATTTAAAATTCTTATCTTTGTTGTAAAGAACAGGTTCAAATATTCAAGTGAAACAAAGTTCATTCAACAGCCCTTTCATGGAATTGGAAAAGACCCTAACCAGTAACCATCCATTTCGCACATTTCAGATCCGCACAACACAATCTATTCTACCATATCGTCCAAGCTCAACAACACCAATCCATATCAAATTCGTCACGCCTGGTACAAATCGAGCTTGTTTGAACGGATTAGCAGATATACATCGAATCGACGAACTCAGCAGTATCAGATCCACTACACCCCGAAGCAAGAATCGCAAGAACAACCAGAAAAAACCGGTTACCTTCACACCGATCTGAAGCTCCGTGACATCTCCGGACTTCTTGGCCGAAGCTGAAAGCCAAATCGAGCAAACGATGTATAAGCCAAACATATCAAGAACAAGAAGAGTAGAAAAACAACAGATCTTTACAAGTCGGCTGAGCTATGAGAGGAGATGGGGATGGGGAACGGGGTTGTGCGGATACCGGTCAGGATGAGGGCCGCCGCGACAACGACGGCGGCGGCGACGGCGAAGCGGACGAGCCGCCGCTGCTGCTGACGCTTCCCCATTCGCTTCTCCAGTACACGATACTACCAGTTGACGACTTGACGTAGGCTTCGCCGTATTTGCACACGGAATGGTTCGCGTGGGCCTACGACTGCGGAGGCCCATTTTTAGTTTGGGCCCGGCCCAAAATTCAGGCTACTACAGTATTTTTTGGGCTTTGGAATACTTCTAAATATTGGGCCGTAAAATCTTCTCTCTCTCTCTCTCTCTCTTTTTTGAGAATTTTGGACACAATTCTTTTCTACGCGTGCACAGCTCAAAACGGGGCCTGACTCCTTCTGTGTTTGCTAGAAAAAACTTATAAGTTTTATTACTACACATGAGTCATATATAATTGAGAGCTCAGAAATAAAGTCAGAAGTCGCAATTGGTCATGTTAATTTCTCAGTATTCGAAAGAGTGTTCATTTAGATTAATTCTCCGGCCCCTGGATATCAGATCAGCCATGCACAAGCTGAGACCGCATGCTCACAAATTAACTAATTCAGCTACCATATCATAACGTCGGCCAATCAACTGCTACATGCGTTTGCAATATTGGAGTCAGACACATCGTTTATTGAGAGAGCATAATTAAGGGCAAATGGAGCAGCAGTATATTGATAAAATTGTTAATAAGTTGTTTATTATCTCAGCAGTTGCAGGTCTACGAGATATATATGGCCGGTCAACACCCGCAAGCTCGATCGTTGAGTGATGCATATACTTATGTTATAGGTGCTGTCCACGTACGCATAAACATATTTTTTATTATATTGTATTTGCGTGAAAACTATATTTGCATTGACTGTCTGTTAGTACCATAACATCACCTTAATCCATTAATTAGTAGCTAGTATTATTAAAGTTTGCCTTCTATTGAGGATAAGGAAAACACGCAATGAAGTGAAGAAAGCTGAGTGTGCACTTACTTGCCATCCAAGTTACCAACCGAATATCAAACTTACCGTGGACTTGGCGTCAATTAATTAACAGCGACCATTATTATGCAAAGTTATCCTCGCCTCATTTTTAATGTAGTTATAATTTTTTATTCAATATTTGACCATCCAACTTATTTAATTTTTTTATAATTAGTATTTTTATTTATTATTATTAGCTAATAAAACTAGAATAATATTTTATGCATGATTTATTGTTATTGTTATTTTTTATATATTTTTTAACTGACGGTTAAATATTAGACAAAAAATCACATGTGCACTTAAAATAAAATAAATAGGGGGGGGTATAAAGTATCTACTTGACCGCCTCCAGCCCGAGACCTCCGCGTAAAACCATTGTCCGGCCGGCCTCCGCGTAGTCTTCCCTAGCTTCGGTGTCCCAACGTCGCCGTCCTTCACCATTAATGCTTCAACGCTCTGTCTTTGGTGACTCCTGTCACCACGTCAGCCATCTCATCACTACTCTATCCCTCTTATCTTCGGGTGTGTTTAGTTCACGCTAAAATTAAAAGTTTAATTGAAATTGGAACGATGTGATGGAAAAATTAGAAGTTTATTTGTATATGAAAGTTTTGATGTGATAAAAAAGTTGAAAGTTTTTTTTAAAAAAGTTGAGAACTAAACCGGGTCTTCTTTGGCTGTGCCGCTGCGGTGCCAATATATGTACCATTGTTATTCTCTATCTTCAGTGGCTCCACGCAAAACTCCCACACCCTCATGATGTGTAATTTCGTTGAGCTCCAAAACTTTAGTATTTTTCGAATGTTTTAAAATTGGAAATTAATTCTGACCAAATTTTAATTAAACTCATAAAAGAAAATTAAAAAAAATCATGAAAATAACGGATGAAATAGTGTCGTGCTGGGTGGTGATTTGTGTACCATAGCTACCTTGCCCCACAGCCATCGATCCAACATCGTTACGGTCATTTCTCTAAGCTAAGGAACACCTCCTATTCCCCTACCCCTTAACTCTTCTTCTTTCCCTACCTAACCATTTAATTTACCAAGATTAAATTGCAAGGTTAAAAATCTATGTGATCCCCTAACCCCAATCCCCTCCTCTTCACCTACCCAAAAAAAAAGTGTTGAGTGATGATGTATAATATCAGGAAATATTTCTATCAAAACTTTTGAGGGAATGTCCCATCCTTTCTTGCATGTCATGCAAACATTTATGAAAAAAATAGGAAAAGTTAGATCAATACTCTCCAAACATGCAAACTTAAATTCAACCTCTACAAATTATAATAAAAAGGACAAATATCAAACTCTAGCTAGTATGTGTATATTCACACCAAACTTTTTTTATTTGTGTCCTTGTAGAAATTAAATTTGAATTTGCATGTTTGTAAAGTGATGTCACATATGGATCGAATTTTCGAAATTTCTTTATAGTTATCTAGATAATATGTAAGAAACAAGAGAAACATCCACTCCGTGAGTTTAAAATCCATTCCCATATAACATCTCAATATCTCGACAGTTTTGCATATATATTATTACACACCATTGCAAACTTGCACTCCAATCACACAGGTGACAATTAACAAAACATATATAGATATATAATAGTACGTAGTAAGTAGCACACAGACTGAGTGTAGCCAGCACACTGCATGCACCCAGCACACAGGGTTACACAATCTAGCTACACAACACAGGTGGTAGTACAAGTTTACAACAATACACTCTCTCTAGTCTCTAATACCTCGCTAATTACTATAGCTATAGTACTTCATCTCCTTGAAGAAGAAAAACCAGTACTTCTTCTAGGACGTACGGCCATCCATGAAAAATACATGACGTTTAATTTACACAAACACTGTACAACCATGAACATTATTACATATTTAGCATCACATCCGATCGATCGAAGAACTAAACTGACGAACTAATTAAAGTTGTGTAGATCGAACTGTAGATAATTTTCGTTCTTGGACACACGCATTCATTCATATAGCATAGCTTTCAGAGATTCAGAGATGCAGCTGATGAACACACGGACGAGACGATAATATGGAGCAAAACAGAGAGCATGAGTAGAGTGTCATCATCAGTCTTTGTCCAGCCCGAACTTACGGTCGATGTAGCCGCCGACGGCGTGGAACGCTGGGCCGAAGAACCCGCCGCCGCCGCCGCCGCTGTTGCTTCCTGATCCGGATCCAGCGCCGCCGCTCCTCCTCCTGTCGCCCTCGCTCTCGTACTTCGGCGACGGCGAGTACGACGACGACGATGAGCCGTGGCCGGGCGGCGTGTGGTGGTAGATGACCTTCACCTCCTCCGCGCGGATGAACACCGGCGCCGCCCCGGACCCGCCGTCCTGCGGCGGCGGCGGAACCGGCCAGCCGGTTCCGCCGCCGCCGAAGTTGTTGTGGGGAATAGGTGCGGCTCCGCTTATGATGATGCTGCTGCCGCCGCCGTAGGGAGAGTTGCTGCCGCCGTAGCCGCCGTCTTTACCGTAGGACAATGATCCGCCGTAGGAAGTGTTGCCGCCGCCATAGCCGCCGCCGCCGCCGTAGTAGGAGCCTGAACCTGCAACGACTCCCGTGCTGCTGCCGTAGTAATTGTTGGGGTTGCCGCTGTTACCGCCATAGCTGTCCTTGTTGTAATTGCTGCTGTTGCCGCCGCCATGGCTGTCCTTGCTGTGGTTGTTCCGGTCTTTCTCGTCGTCCTTGTGCTTGTGGCTGCTGGTGATCTTGTGCTTGTTCTTGTCTTTGTCGTCGTCGCTGCCATTGTTGTTGTTGTTGCTTGTGTAGCTCTGGTAATCCTTCGTCTTGGTCTCCTTCTTGTCGCCGGCGCCGCGCGGCGGCGACGACGACCGCCTGCCGCCGCCGCCGCCGCCTCCTGATCCGGCGCCGTAGGAAGAGGTGTCGTAGTACGGGCTGTTCCACGACGACATCGTCTCGATCTCTAGCTTGATCCCCAACTTAATCACTCAAGATCGAGCTAGGGTTCGTCTAGATATATATCCCTGGATGATAATAAGTTCATGTATCAGCATGTATGCTTTGGTTGAAATGAAAAGTGCTCGATTAGATGCCTAGGAATATACACATCGATCAACTAGAATTTTCAGTAACAAACTAACTCTTGATGATGATATGAGCTGTATGTATCAGTATCAACTAGCTCGAACAGTGATTAAAGAGTGAAAAGAATGAGAAATTTAAACACTCATATATGCATGCTAAGCATGAACGCATACCAGATCGACAGGGGAAGCAGATAGCTAGCTAGTGTGATAATCGGCAAGATGGCTCTACAGTGTGTGGCCAAGTATATGTTCACAACTTATAGAAGCCCCTGCAGAGACGTCAACGCCCTAGATAGAAAAGTCTTCGTCTTCTTCCCCAAAAATACACCTTTTTTAATTATCACAGACAACCTTCCAACCACAGTTAAGATTAATATACGTAACCCTATGGCTTATAATTGCTGATTAGTGATTCGGATTGAAATCCATGGACCAAAAATAATTAAACTACGAGTAGCTACCCCACTTATAGTACGTCGTCAACCTGTAAACTTGCGTATTCAAACACTTCAGCTAAATCAACTGATACCTGCACACTTCGATCCATTATACACTGCGTATATTTCGTGGCCAGTGTACCGAATTCGCAATCAGAGAAAGAGAGAGGTTAGAACTTAGAACAAGACTGTGTCAGAGGAAATATCTCTGAAATTGCGCGCATGCATATGCCGACGTTAGCATTCATACAAATTGCAATAGCGATAAAATTGATTAATCCTAGTTTGACTGAATATCATCCAGAATTGAATCACATTTTCATAAAGATTTTTCGTGGGCCGGAACGCCGGCCGAATCCTATATACTTATATAGTTCATCCCCACTAAATATAGTTAATGCTATTTCTCTCTTCTCTCGTTAAGCCACATCACTCTAATTATTTCTAGCTTTTAAATAAAAGATCTATGATCCAAATTGTCTCTTCTTTCTTCTCTCTTTAAAAACATACAATCTTAATTATTTTTAGGCTCAAAATTATTTCAAATTGTTTTAGTTTTGATAATTAAATTACATCTTATTTGCACATATTATGTAACTTAATTTTTCGCAGCAACGCGACGGGGTATTCATTTAGTTCTATTAAGAATCAAGAGAGCAAATTAATATCATAGTGATATACAGGTCTAGATATATATTGATTGATCTCTCTCCCCCAGTTAGCAACTACCGGCCGAATGGCAGGCAGTACAGCGACATTTGCAGTTTAATTTACATGCACGTACATTTGCGCCAATGTGGTAAATACAATATGATTAATCTCTCAACAACATTCAAATTGTTACATTGTAAGCATGGTCATTTTTCGATTGGGCTGGAAACCTGGAAGGCAGCAAAAATTAAACTCCCCATCTTAACAAACTTGAACCGGATATTAGTAAAAAAAAAAGTTACAGAAACGTTTGTGGTTTAATTAAATGAATTGTGGTCATTCTTCGTCTGATTGGACCGGATGGTCTACAGCAAAATTTAATTACATAGGTAGATAGATAAGTTGTAATCAGATTAGTATTAATTCAACTGTGATGTATGCACCTAGCTCATGATCGAGTCATGTCATATTGGACGGATTTCTACGGCTCAAAGGCATACGTAATTTCTGTTACTGATATGTGGTACTCCCTCCGGTTGTAAAAATTAAAATTGACGCCGTCGATCGACTTTTAACATGATATTCAAACGTAACTATTTGATTTTTATGACCAGTAAAATAAATAGTAATTACCATAAATAGTAATTACCTTTTTTTAACAAGATGCATGATCAAAACGTAATGACTAAAGTTAACTGTGTCAAATATGTATGAACAGAAGAAACACTTACTAAATACAGTAGTATGGAAGCATATTGAGTAGCTAGCCAGCAGCACACTGAACATACACACAGCATACAGATAGCTAGAGTACAACACAAAAAACAGTCTCCGGCTAGTACAATTATACAACACAATACTAGCTAGCTAGCTACCCACATGTGTATATACTATATAGTACATTAGCAACTTCATTTTTCCTTGAAGCAGGAAAGCCGGTACTACTGGTTTACACTTCTTCGGCAGTTGAAAAAAAAATAACAAAACTATAGAATCACGAGCACTCATTACCACAAATTATTTGGCGGCCTTCCGTGATTATTTCTTCTGAATAATAACTTAACTTAACTGAACCAACGAACGCTTGTAGAATTTGAGTACGTACGAATTAAGTATGTGCCAACATGCATGCATGCGTGCACATGCAGAGTTGCAGTAGATATCGATGGAGTCGATCGAGATGCAGAACGGAGAGGAGACATCGACGAATTGAATTGAAGCAATTTAGGAATCTATCAGGCTCAGTCGAATCCGAACCTACGGTCCATATAGCCGCCGACGGCTTGGAACGTCGGACCGAAGAGCCCGTTTCGTCCTCCTCCGCCGCCGCCGTTGTCTCTCCTCTCGCCGGAGTTCTCGTTCTGCGACGACGACGACCCTGGCTGCGTCATGTAGATGACGTTGAGGTACGTCGGCGCCGACCCTGAGCCACCCTCCTGCCGCGGCGGCGCCGGCGCACCCCAGCCGGAATTAGAGCCATAGCCATAGGAGGCAGGGGCGCTGCCGCCGCCGCCTCCGGCTACGATGGCGCCGCCGTTACCATAGGAAGAGCCGCCGTAGCCGCCGCCGTTGCCGTAGGTAGAGCCGCCGTAGCCGCCGCCGTTGCCGTAGGAAGGGCCGCCGTAGCCGCCGCCGTTGTTGTAGGGGTTGTAGCCGCTGGGGGCGCTGCTGCTGTAGCCCTCGTTGTTGCCGTAGCCGCCGTAGTTGCTGTAGCTCCGGTCTCTCTCGCCGCCGTCGTCGTCGTACTTGTAGCTGCTGCTGCTGCTGCTGCTCTTCTTCTTGTTGCTCTTCTTTCCCCTGCGCCTGTTCCGGTCGCCGTGGTCGTCGTCGTCGTCGCTGCCGCTGCCGCTGCGGTTGTCGTCGTCGCTGGTGTACCTCGGGTACTCCTCGGACGTCGTCCACGGCGAGCGGCCGTTGCCGCTGCCGGCTCGTCCGTACCGGTCGTCTCCTCCTCCTCCGGCGAACGACGAGCTGTCAGAGCCAGCGTAGTACTGGCTGCTGCTGCTGCTGCTTTTGCCGCTGGATTTCTTCCACCAGGACATCGCCTCTCGACTTCTTGATTGAACTTAACTTAAATTAATTATGGTCCCAGCTACTGATCGAGCTAGCTAGCATGTAATTAACGATTTACTGATTAGCAGCAAGATATGATGCAGTAAATAAACTCGAATGAGAAATTTTTTTTGAATAACTCAAGCTGAATTAGCATGCATGCATACTAACCCGACAGTAGATGATCAGATGATAGGCCAGATAAGCGCAGATACTCACAAGAGAGATGCCTCTAAAAACTTGATCTTATAGAAGCTCAAAGACATCGATCAGATCAAAGTCTCGTCAACTTCAATATAAAATAGGGCACTTTTTAATTTAATCATCACCTAATGAGACCTAAACTTCCCACCAACAGCAGTTACGCGTGGATATATCAGAGATAAAATGAGACCCAAGGCGGCTGTGCCCTGATTATGATCCAAATCTAGGGTTCCAAAATTATTAGACTACGAGTCCACTTGCGAAGTATGGCATCACATCTGACGTGTAGACTTGCATATGCAAAACACTTGAGCTAAACCAACCAATCCCTACACGCTTAATTGCACTGCGCACTGCGTAGATTTTTGGTGGTCAGGGCAACGAATTTTCGCAATCAGAAAAGCGAAACGAATTAAAGAGTTAACTAATACAAATTTAGAAGTAGACTTTGTCACAGGAAACATCTATGAAAGTTCATATATATGAAATAATGAAAACGTTATGCATGCGACAAAGAGTTTAACTTAGTCTGACTGAATACTGTATATATCCAGAATTGAATTTGAATCACATCTTTTGATAAAGATATATATGTCGCTATAGCTTGAGAGATAATCCCCAGTTAGCAGTAGCAATTAGCAATTACTAGACGGAAGGCAGTACAGCGACACACACACACACACACATACATATATACATAATATATATATATATATATATATATATATATATATGCAGTTTTAATTTACATGCACGTTCACTGTTGTGTCAATCTGGTAAAAGTGATTAATCTCAGCTAGCTGGATCCAAGTAATTAATTGTTACATATGCAAGGTCATTTTTCAACAGGGTATAAAAAACGGTGGCATTTGGCTGTTAATTTTGGCCGGAAACCTGGAAGGTAGCAGACACTATCCTTAATTAACAAACTTGATCTAGCTGCAAGTAGTAAAAAAAAATGCAGATATGTACTGTAGTCAATGAGTTGTAGTCAATATCTTAGTCTGATTAATTAATTGGAATGGCCCATATATATGGGACAATTACGTTCTTCCTTTTTTTTAAAAAAAAAGAAATTTCGGTCATGATTTTAATTTACCACTGGTTTTTTAATTTTATGATTTTCCTATCATTTTTAACTAATAATTTCACACATGCCCTTGCATTTTATCATGACTTTTGCCCCTTTTTTTAATATGAATTCAATTTTTAAATGAAAATGTGAGGACAAGCTAGCATAAGCTTGAAATGAATTTTAACACCATTAAGTCATTTTAATGAAATGACAGGAACAAGCTTCAGTCAAAAAATGAGAGCAAAGTTACAAAGTTGGAAAAGTGGGTAAAATCATAATTGGAAGTCTCAACAGAGGTAACCATAAATGCCTATTAAATATACACTGATTGTCTAGAACGAAAACACTATGTAAGATGTAATTAGTTTTAGCATTAATATATAGTTTGTGGTTTTTTTTATCACATGTATATAGTTTGTGGTTGATGTAATGTGATGATAATCATACTAGCTTAAATTAGGTTGTATAAAAAAATTTCAAGCGCTGCTTGCACTTGGCCTCATCAATCATATCTAACATTGGACGAAATAATACTATAACCGTTGTCCTTGGTAAAACTACAAATCACTGGACGGCATATTCAAGCAGAGACAAAATTTGGCATATAGCAAGGTGTGCTTTAACAGCATAGGATCGGACTAAAAGTCCATTTATGATCAGAACTTATGAAGAAAATTAAAAATTGCAGGCTTGGCTGCGCTCGGCCCTGCAGTCCCCCATTTTATGATCTGGAGTAACTTTTAGTGTATATTTAAATTAGAAGAAATTACACTTGAATTTAATTACAAACTGATTAATTACAATATGATGCAATCACACATACATACATTAACTGAGCACAAACATACGTATATATATATACGCATGCCGTACACACATACTTATGCACACAGTGTCACATATATATCTCACACAGTACATGAATATATACAGAGTACAGTACATGAAACAAACCGACACTGCAGTCGGAAAAAAAGAAAGAAAAAATAAATAAAAATAAAGCCAATTAACCACAAACACATACATACACGTTGCGGCCGTATGCAGATGCAAAGAAGAAATACTTATTAGAAGCGAGCAATTAATAATTACGTATACGCACGTAAATACGGTCGTACGTATACTAGAGCTCGCAGACGGTACGTACGTACGTATACTGATAGTCTGATGTACGTATATATGCATGTGATAATAGTACAAGTTTCGTGTTAATTACGCGCGTCACCGATTAATTAGTATAATTAATTAATTAGTCGCTGCTGTGGAAGCCGAACCTTCTGTCGAAGAAATGGCCGACGGCCTCGAACGCCGGGCGGAAGAACCCGCCGCTGCGCCGCCTCTCGCCGCTGCCGCCGCCGCCGCCGTAGCCGTCGCCGCCGTCGTACGGCCCATGCGGCCCCCCGTACACGTGGACCTCGCGAGTGTTGATGTACAGCGGCGACCTCGCGCCGTTCTGGGGAGTCCAGTACCCGGCCGGCACGCCGCCGCCGCCGCCGTACGGCACGGATCCACCACCGGTGTAACCTCCGCCGCCGCCACCGCCGTAGTACGGAGTACCGACGCCGGCGCCGTAGAGGGTGACGCTGCCGGCGTTGTAGCCGCCGTTGTAACCGTAACCACCACCACCACCGTAGTTAGCGCCGGCGTTGGCCTTGGTGCTGCCGCCGTAGCCGCCGCCGGATGCTGCGTAGCCGACGACGGCGGCGGTGGCGGCGTCGTCGTTCCTGCCGCTGGTCTTCTTCAGGCGCGACGGCGGCGGCGGCTGGCGCTTCGCCGACGTCTTGTCGCCGGCGGCGGCCGCTTCATACTGCTGCTGCTGCTGCTGCTGCTGCCGTCCTCCTGATCCGTAGGTGTCAGTGGAGGAATTGGAGTAGCTGCTGCCGCTGAAGGATCTACCGCTGCTGTTCCACATACCTATCCAGCGGTCGATCGAACAAATTAAGCTAATAAAATTGCACGTACATGTCAAGAATATTCAGAGATTCGATCGTTGCGTTGTTTTATATATAGTATATATATTTGGTGGCTGCAGCTAATACATGTAATTAGTATGTGATATATTGCATTCAGCTGACGGTATACATGAACGGATTTGCAAACGAATTAAAGAACCAATTATCATATACTCCTATAACGGATACTTCAGATATATTCAGAAGTATTCTTGAATTATTGATCAGCTAGAGTTTAATGAACTGTGTCTGACGAATTTGATTATGTCGATCTGGTTAGCTAGTGGTTGATGGATGAACTGTGCCTGATATGGTAGTTCTTCAAGCTTGCATGGATGAACATAATCCGCTAGAACAGTAAAAAGTGAAAAAGAAACATAAAACAAAGTAAAAGGAGGATCATAGATAAGATACCTTTAATTTGTGGAGGAGATGACACTTAATTGGATCCGGTATAAGGCACCCTCTGCAGTTGCCAAGGGGCGTTCTATATAGAGCTAGTACACTCAAGTCAACCACACTTCGAGTCTCCGGTTTTGCAATAAAAAAAAGAAGACACTTGTCGTCTTAGCTATAGAGAAAAAGCTTCAAATTATCTGCGTCATATTTGAATGCCACCCACAATGATTACCATATTTTGTGTTAATGTAACCGGGGGCGAATTTACTGTTGGGGCTCCAATTGAACAGGTAACAATGTGTTAGAGCAAGCAGGAACAACAGTTTGCAGTAGAGGAGCAAGTAAGAAAGAAACTGACCAACTGGTTTGCTACGATGAAGCCGGCCAAGCTTCATAGCTTCAGATTTTATCCAATCAGGTCTGGTAGCATATAGGGTATAGGCGATAGTAAAATATGAATATCAATAATTTAGGCTTTAGGTATAAACTTACAACTAATTTATTCTTTATTATTAACACTACAAATCATTTTACTTTCATTTTTGGTGTTTCAGTACTAATTTGAAATTTTATGAGCGTTAAATTTGTGTTATGGATTGCGACCTAAGAGCCCCAACTCGATTTTCATTCTACATTCGCCACTGAATATAACTAAAGTTAAAATTAATTAACACATATTAATTCTGCCAATGAATGATTGATCTTCTTAATTATATGATCATTTAACAGTTAATATTCGCCACTAACAATGATCAAGTAATGATAGATTCATGATTTGTGCGTGTGTGTACTGACACTGTTCACCCAGCTAGCTAATTAATTACTCTCACCAGAAAAAAAAATTAACCCTCGTGGTAATTAATCTCTGCACCAAGCGAGAACCTTTGATCAGAAATTAATGAAACCAACAACGGTCAGATCAAGCTAGGTCTCATACTGTACTTAGAAAGTAGAAAATGTGTCACGATCTAGTATACGCAAGGCTGACTTCTAGGGATATACGTGTGCTTGCGAGTTGCAAGCAGCCAAGAGGACGTATGAACTGTATCATTTCATGAAACAGCCAATCCCTAACTAGTCACTGCATTAATTAATTAAATAATTACAGACAGTAGTCTGCACTAGTGCAGAGAGCTCAGATCAATTGCGATTATACTCCCTCAGTACTCATTAAAAAAATCGTTTAGAACAACGTTTAAGTCAAACCTTAAAAATATAAATTATGAATAACTCTTAAGTTGTTGAGTTTGAAAATATAAAAAATATATAAATAGATTTGTCTTGAAAAATAATTTCATAAAAATATAAATATATCATTTTTTTTAATAAATATTTTTATATAAATAAAAAGTCAAAATTATATTTTGGAGACCGTATCACTATCCAAAACAATTTCCTTTACCGGAGGGATCGAGTACAGCGAGAGCTGTGGACTTCTCAGACACGCATGCATTAAACCGTGTGCACGTACGCAATTTCGGCAGCCTCTCTCTCTCTCTCTCTCTGTAGAGTAAGCTAAACAGTGACACTGAAAGAGCCATCAAAATTAAATCCATGCCACATCAGTCTGATCTGGATTACTTTAGAGGTTAGAGCTACATTTTCACAACCATATATTTCATGATCGATCAGATCGACCGGTCTAGCTAATGAACGCCCATAGCTCACTTAAGTACCTAACCTGGCTTAATTTGTAGCTTTAATTAATTAACGTGCACTTGCATGTACTGTCTGAATTTAACAATTAATGTGGTAAATGATTTCAATTGGCATGCAGGCAGCTCGAATGGTGTGTATGATAATAAAATGTTGACAGGAACAGATACTATAGTGTTAATTAACCCATGATCTTGAGCGTGAAGTTAGTAGCAAATCCTGGCTTGTCTCTACAACCTCTTGCATCTAGCTAACTTGGTTCACACGTCAAACCAAGTCGATAGATCCATGCTCGATTGACCCTTGACTTGAACCAAATTTTATTCAGAAAAGTAGATGAAATTACCTGCTAGCGATTGCTACGTGCCAAAATGACAATTTTAGTATAGTAGCGACATTTATATTATTATCGCAACCTTTCTATAAAATTAAACGTAATCTCTCCGTTCTTTCATTCGTTAAACCCTGGTCAAAGTTGGATTATCGTCATGATACGTTAAGCTAAGTAGATGACCATAACCATTTCATTAAAACCCAACTAATTGATATTATTGATCTCTCCGATATAAGCAAGTTTAAAACGTTTCTAAACTGTACGATTACTTGTTTCTTTATTTCTAGCTAGAAAGTTCGATGGATCAACTACCTAATATTGGGATATTCATGGCCACTGTATATTATATTCAGAGGGGATTCAAACAGATTTAGACCTGTAATTAGGAAATGTTTATATGAGAATTTTACACCAACATGCAGAAATTCATAAGATATATGAATCCAAATAAGGAGACAAGAAGCGTACCTAACAGGATCTTCATCTCTGTCCCTCTAAAATAAACAGCATCTCAGAATTCATGCTTATCCTACCAGATCAGATTTGAATCACATTTTTTTTTAAAGACAATGAGATTTGAATTACAAAATGGCGGGCAGGTAGGATAAGGATGAGTATATCAGTGGCGACATTGACCAGTGAAGAATGATTTGCTAGATGCAATTCTAAAATGTGCAAACACAATACATAGTTACATACCACCTGCAGCTGCAACAATTCTCTGAAGAAATCAAAGGTTCTGGCAACACAAGTTGCATGCATGCACCCACATTTTTCAGCGACATAACATTATATTATTGACCTTTGTCATGTTGCTTTCGAGCTCAGTAACTTTTTATTTACCTTTTTAGTACTCTTTTCCACTTAATTACATCACCTTTTAGATTGTTATCAGCCCAAGTTGGCATATGGATCAGGACCTTGATCAATTTGATTGGATGCTGTGTGTAGTGAGTGAAGATGATGTTGGTATCATGGAAACTTTGCCATTGCCCAATGGAGTGTACAGTAGTGCTGAGGCCGTAACTTCTTAGAATGAGACAAGCACTAGCCGTCCATTGACCTTGACTTGCCCAAGAAAACCATGGATAATATATAACTACCGGAAATTAACGTGATTTAATAATTTATATATAGTAGACGACGATGGCGTGTGTGCGTGTGCGGTGTAGTACGTATTGTATTCTCGAGCTGCAGGCAAGGCGTTCAATCATGCGTGCATATGTGCCGTGCGTATATTTATACGTGTAGCTTTGCACTTGCACGCCCGCGGTGATGCGTGCGTAAAGGCTGACGCCATACCGGAAAGGCATTTCCATGTTAGACATCAGCCGTCCATCTGCTTTGAGATTCGTGCTAAATTTGGTACGCGCCTAACCCTGTATTGTTTTTTTTTAGCAACTGTATAATAATAACTTGTGTCTTTTTAGTAAGAAAAGGAGAGTGGGTGAATTACATGTAATAGCTCTAAATTCTTCAGAAGGGAGTGCTGCAGACTGCAGCCAGCCAACTAGCCAAGCAGGGTTTATTTGGAGAGATTAAGATTCTTAAAAACCTGATATCTAATTTCTGAGAATCTGAAAAAAGCTTTAAAAAAACCCTAGTTCGTAGTTGCTAAGTTTATTTTCTAGATTCTACAACTATAGTTTATTAAAATCTAAACAAAAAGCTAAACTACTTTGTGGAGCTTCTGATTTAAAAGGAATTGCACTACAATAAGCTCTTCAAATAGGCCCTAGGAATGTTAGTAAAAAGCCGGATTAACCACTTACTTGCCCCCTTACTAGTCATCACGGTATCCTGCAAGCCAACACGCCGCACTTTGATAGTTCGACGCCCGCCAGCAAAGCCCGGTCTCTCAGTCCCAATCAAGGAACACGTTAAAAATGAAGACCACCTCCAGTAGTCCAGCGTCTGGATAGCATATACTCCAAGTTCCACGGTAATCTCGCACCGAATTTCCACGCGAAACGATAAAAATGGCAGATTATTTTTTGGGGGTTTCCAATGTCAAACAACACGTGGCTGATTTAATCCATCTTTGGAAAGGGAATCGTATCGCCAAACATGAAAGCGTAAGGGGAAGAAAAAACTTACATTTTATTATTCCAGCCAGTTTCAGAGGAAGTGGCAACCGAGTTTCTAGTGCCCAGCAGCTACTGTATATCCAATGTGGGTAAATCTCAAAACATATACTCCCTGCCAGATGAACCGAAAAAAAGCGCCGGCACACGCTTCTGGACCACGGTCTCATCATGTACAAATTACACATCATGTAATAAACACATGTACACTAAGTCTCGACAAGAAATTACCATGTGAAAAACGCAACAGGAAAAAGACCCGCAACCATCCACATCTCATCCCAAACCTACCTTCTCCCAATTGGGAGGGTAAAAGGTCGTGTCCTGTGAATCAAAACCAAATTTACCTCATGCCCTCATGTGCCCTGTGCTGATCGAACAGCATCATTCATTACTGGTTCACCGATCAGGCAATCAAGACCATCTTGGAGGCAAACTCCACTTACCCAATTTGAGCACGCTGAACATATGCTGTATATTCTAGCCTAACAAGTCCTTGAATAGAATAGGGTTGTTCCCTGTCGGCGTCACACCAACTTGCCGGGCCGCTGCGTCCTTCTGCAAGGCATCTTGAAGGCTAGGGCCCTTCTTTGCAGCGACCACATTTACCCCGAGTGATGGTTCTGTGGATCCACTGGTCACTCCAGTTTGTACATCATCCGAAAAGATTGACATAAGATCTGGTGTTTTCGAAGTGCTCGAAGCTGGGGTTTCAGAAACCACAGGAGAGGCTGATGCTGGTCCGAGAAGACCTTCTAACTGTGTGAAAGGATCAGCTAATGGAGGACTTGATGAAACTGGCTCTCCCAGATCCAGAAGATCAGGTGGTGGGGCAGAAGGGATTACTTGCTCTTTGGCTGGCTGCGGTGTTGCATTAGCAGTAGCTACTTTCTCAGTTGAGGAACTCTCCTTTGCTGTCTTTCGCCCAGCCTGGGTCTTCCTATCAGCTTTACCAAAGAGTGAAGCAGCCAACCGTTGCTTTTCCGCTGAAACTTCAGTGGCCTGCTGTCTCTTGGAACCATATGTGGATTCCCGAGCCTGTGAACTTGTTGACCCTCCCACCTCAGAACTAACGCCTCCATTGGTTGCTTGTTGACTAGATGTTGAACTTGAAGGCGTAGATGAGGAGGAATAGGCTGGTCTCCCCCATTTCTTCTGAACTCCATCAAGACGAAGTTTGAGACCAAATTCACCAGAAAGAGAATCGCCTGATGGCTGGGATCTTGACATTTGGTGATCTTCCTTATAGTAGCTTGGTTCTGGAACTGGAACCAGGTCAGTAGTTGGGGAAATACTGGCCTGTGAAGCTGCTGGAGGTAGCTCATAGGCCTCGAATCTAAGAGCATGGGCAGATGTCTCTTGTTGATCCTGGGCCTTGTAGTTGCCAACACTTACCACTCCTGAGCGTTCACTCTCAGGAATGTAGGGTGCAGCACCATTTTCAATGGCTTGCTGCACATAACCATTTAGAAACGAGAGGTTTCTGTCGATCTGCAACATAAATTTAGTATCCGTGAAAAGGTTGCCCTTTTACTCTTACGCTTGGTTCAATTTATAACTTTTGCTTTAAAGTTGTGTGCTTATGTAGAAATAGTGCAACATATTAAAAATATATGTAAGTGCCAGATTGTTTCTGTGCTGTCACCAGGATTTTATGCATATGAGGAAGCAGATAAAATCAAGTTTTCATGCATTAGGCTCGGTTCCAAGAAAGGGATAGCAGTACCTCAATATCTTCGCAGCTTGCATCGGCTGGCATTACATTCTCAACAGCCTGTTTGTCCAAACCTAGCAAAGCCTGTAGCTCATATGCACGCTGCTGCAAGTCTGTTGAATGCGAAGCTGACAATTCATCTATCAACGATTGGCACTGCAAAGGATCGGAGATGATTTATAAAGATTTACCTACAAACAATAGAGTACACGAATTCTACAGGAAGAGAGTTTTGCCACTTCATGGTAAGCAATAGTGTTGATGTTTTCTATTCTGGACCTCCCAATCATGTGGACAGTATTAATATCAAATATGTCTCTGTGCTTTCCAGTCATATGGAACATGATTGCTTTACATCATCCAGTGGTGAATGATGTTTTAAAAATCAGAAGTAAAGGTTTGCTTCTTTACAACATTATATCAAATAACGAAATTATTCACAGAAAAAGGCTGTCACAGAATTATGAAACACAGAGATAATATAGGGTAGATGGCAAGTTAACCATAGTCTTGAGTTTTCCGAGATGACTGTTCCAAGTTTGTATTAGGATATTTGCTCATAAACTTTTTTTATAGCTAGTGGTGCTCAAACTGAACAGCACGAGATGACTGTTCCAAGTTTGTATTAGCATATTTGCTCATAAACTTAAATAACTAGCATTATAGATGTAAATTCCAACAAAGGAAAATGCACCAAATTCGGCTTGGGTATGAAATGCATGTGATAACTGATAAACATATAATCCTAGGGAGGAGCATAATTTACAGTTAGTGCAAGTATAGCTTTCATGTAACTTTAGTCTCATGAAAAATAATTCCCTCTTTCGGTGCACAACTGCACATGTGAAGCTATATGTAATAAACAATGGTTTGGCTTGAAAGCTAATGACAATTTGACATGAAAAATGATAAGTGAGACAATCCAAACAGTGAAGATTTTCATTTACCTCGGGTAGCATATCGATCTTCCTTCCAAGAGCGATTTCAAACGCAAAGATCTTCAAAATTGCGGAGATTGCATAAGCCTTGAATAGGAACACCGAATAACAAACAGCAGGACATGTCAATAAATCAATTAGATGTACAAAAAAGATTTTCTCAAGGATAAGGAAGTAGAACATTAATCAGAGAAAACAAAAGATCTATACAGTTGATCAAGGTGGGTCCAGATTATAACAGTATATAATATATAATTGGATATATATATTATAGGCTACTATAATTGATTGGACTAATGGATCAAACTACCCACAAAATGGATTACTGGGTTACCCAACAACAATGTACCCTGAGACATTTCAAATTACAAGTTCTGATTTTCATGGCAATTGATCATAGTAATTGCGCAAGAAAATGTCGAGTAATGATCAACTTGGATCTATATTATAATATTTCAACACAGAGCATGCACAGTAGCAATGGGCCACATGTAATAACAGTGGAACAAAAGCTAAACTACAAGAGCATACCCTGACAGTGTCATCAGTTGGGTGGGCCTCTGCCACATCATACAGCTTCCCAATAATATATGAAGCTGAATATTTCCCATCTGCTGTTCCATATTCTCCCAAAACCCAGCATATTATCTGAAAGTAGAATGAATCAACATAATCTACCACAGAAAACATGGTACGGAGTATGATATAAGAAGAAAACAGGAAATTAAAATCACCTGCAGAAACGAAGAAGGAAGCTTTGGCTCCCCAACAATCCGTAGATAGGAATCTACCTGTTCAGGGAAAACAAAGTGTAAACTAACATACCAGGGAAAGTGAACTAAGTTAAGAATCATGCATCAAATTCAAGTTCACCATGAGAACTTTTCAAGTTGAAACAGCAGGAATTGATACATGCACTGGTTCACTTTAGTCCATATCTGAATGGTAGGTGGGGAATTTACATCTGGTTTACAGGTTGATTCATCATGCGTAACCAGAGGATAACATAAGCTTTTCCCCTTACTTCGATTATAAATTAACCAATCAGAGTGAAAGGGTCACTTAGGCCTAGAGGAGGGGGGGGGGGCGAATAGACTCATGCCGGACTAATATTCCTTCATACATTCTAAATTGCAAGCATTAGTCCTCACTAATTGGATTGTCATTAACCACCAAAATAATTAGGGGCTTAGATGCACTTTCACAGAGAATAATTAAAGTATAAGGTGTTTATTCACAATACTTATGTTTAGCAAGGGGAACATGTCAGCAAAGAATTAAGATTAGTCCAGAGTACATACAGCTGACGATCTTAGTTGGCTATCAGCACCTTCATCCTCCTCTCCAAAGCCTTCAGCAATAAGTCGCATTAAATTATGTGCAACTCGGATGTTGACAAGATCTCCAGCATGCTCAAAGACTTTGTTCATGGTCTGGTAAATAATTAGTAGAACCAAAGGATCTTCTGTTAAAAATATTAGTAGAAAATACATTAAGTGCTCAACAACAAACATGCATAGACTGATGCTGTCACCTGGATGAACCACTGATTGCTAGGTGCAAATTGTTCTGCTAGCTCAACACAACGAGATGCAATTTCTGTCTTGTAATGGTGATCAGTGATGTTAATCATATACTCAATCATTCGATCAACAATCACTTCAACATTTGTTGATTTTGTCATCTTGTAAAGAAGCTCGAAGGTCTTGCGTTTCAAAGTGTCATCAGGATCCTGTTCAAAAGAAACCGCACTGAGTGAGAAACAAGAAGGGCTAGTGTGAAAAGTATAACACATCCAACTAAAGATGATGACACAGTGACATGCATCTACTGAGGTAGCAAATTAAAACCACAAAACTGATGCCATAAGAACAGAACAAGCCAGCAACTAGGTCAGCGATATTGTATCAAACAACACAATATAATCTTCTGAAAATTATAAGTGCTTCTTCAGCTAACATAATTTTGGTCTTTCTGCAGGGAAACGTGAAATGAATTACAAATCAGCATTCTTCGTAAAATTAATTTCTGCAACTATAGCATGATTTCAGTAAAAAAGTCTTAGCTTCATTCTCTTGCAGCATGCAACAGGAATATACGCATGGAAGCAACATACTAAAAACCCAATATTTTCCATGAACACGCAAGAGCTGAATTTTGCTATATTCCTCACCTCTAAGCAATCAATAACAGCCAGCTGGTGCTCTTCTGCGATATCTGGATTTATTTTAATTAACCGGCCAAGAGCATCAATGCCCATGTACTTAAGATTATGGCTATCACTCTGCAAACATAAAAGAGTTAATGAAGCAGGTTAATTTCCTATGGACACAACATCATGAAAATCACTTATGTCTCACATAAGAACTTTGTGTGCACCTTCAGAAACTTTGATGTTGTTTCAGCTGCAGCATCAAGCATCTTAGCGTTCGGGAATATGGATGAAATACAGCATATGCACTCATACAATATTGCATTGCCAATGTTGCTTGCAGTGTCACCCTTCCTGAATATGTCACCCAAGACCATGTACATATTTCCACTTGCCTGCTTATCACCGCTACCCAGCACCGCAAGTATTTTCAATAGTTTAATCTGCAAATAAGAACAGTAAAATCTAATGACATAAGATGGTGCCAATTGAAGACTCCAAACATAGGAAGTTGAAGCTCAATAGAGTTCACATACCTGAATAAATGGTGCAGGCATTTGGTGGTAATCATAGGAAGTTGGAAGCCTCCTCTCTGCAACTTGTTTGAGGATGTTAACAAAACTAACAACCAAATCCTTGTACGAATTTGGATCTTCCAAAATCAGGTCATAGAGGGGGCATAAAGTTGCACCCATGACCCCAGGATCATTATCACAGAGCCTCTGCAAAATAATAGCGATCAACACTAAGCATCTCTCTGAGAAACAAATATGTGCTTCACTAACAGTTGGGAAACCCCACAGGCTACAGTTGCTGGAAATCCCAATTGAGGCTCAAGGTAGATACGAAGACACAATTTAAGACAATAAACACTGGTATTCTAACATGGAAACACAAACAAATAGTAAACAAATTTGCATCTTTGGTGTTAATCGAATCCATAACTCTTGTAGACAGAACCTAAGACTAGCTAACTTATCTTAAATTGGCATGAACAAAACAAAGCAAAAGTCACATTTCTAGGTTAAATAAGTGGCTAAAAATGTAATTGGAGAAAACAGCTAGCTGCATCATATGCAATTACAGACATATATACAAATTAAACACAGAAATGTGAACCATAGTAGGACTGATAGAATGATTGTAGCCGAGTGTGCATTTCAGAATTGAGACAATATATGACTGAGGACGACTTATTCTACGTTCATTTCAGTTGGGAAACGAAATGGGAGGGATTTAGTTTGGACCTTGCGGAAGTTGGAGACAAGGTGAGAGACGGATGAGGGGGATCGCTGGTAGAATCGGTGGAGCGCCATGACGGCCTTCTTCCGCACGGCCTCCTTGGGATGCGCGAGCAGCTCGACGACCTGGGGCAGCACGGCCGGGATGGCCTCCTCCCCGATGAGGCGGCAGGCGGCGGTGAGCGCGGCGCAGACGACGAGGTAGTTGTCGGACCTGAGGTCCTTCTGTATGGTGTTGACGACGAGGATGACGAGGTCGTGGCGCTCGTCGAGGAAGAGGGAGACGGCGAGGTAGCCCGTGCGCTTGAGCGGGAGGGACTCGTCGTGGGTCATCTTGACGGCGTGGATGTGGCCGAAGGAGGCGTCGTGGCCGAGCATCTCGGCGTAGACGAGGCGGAGGAGGAGCTCCTTCATCTTCCGGCGGGGCACGTCGGGGTCGGCGAGGCGGCGCTTGAGGTGATCCAGCTCCCGCGAGATGATCCGGTCCTCCTCCGCCTTGGACCGCGCCTCGCCGATGGACTTGACAAGGTCGAGGAACTCCTTCGACTGCCCCCACCCTCCCTGCGACCCCATCGCCAGCTCCCGCCCGATCGTCCGCAGCTGCTCCATTGCGCCCCTCTTCGCCCGCCCGTTGCCCGGGGGCGTCCCCCGCCGGTTTGCTCGGGGAGGCCGAGGTGATGTGGGGCCGATCCGCCGCCGGCGACGGCGACGGCGAGTGGGTTGGTGGCGGCGCGGCGAGGCGAGGCGGTGGAGATCTGGATCCGGCGAGGCGAGGCGAGGCAAGGTGGGTTTCGGGCTTTCGGTGTAGGGAAGGAAGGGGGAGATCGGGATCGGGATTAGTGAGGAGGAGGAGGTCTAGTCTAGTTCTCGTTTTTCTTTTTTTTTCCTTTTTTTTCTCTCGTTTTACTACCTACTCCCTCTATAAAGAAAATCTCATTTCTGAGTATGAATGTGAATGTAGCGTATATTCACATCTATAGTTAGAAATGGGGTTTTTTAACGGATAAAATACTCTAAAAGTAATCATTTTAGAGTTTTGTGAAAGTAAAATATAATTACATTTAGAGTAAATAAAGTGAGAATAATTATATTTGGATCTGATAAAATAACAGTACTCTATTTTTTTTTATTGATGTGTCGAATGGATAAAAAATAAATTTATTTTAAAACGGAGGGAGCACCAGTTGTTTTGCTTTGCAAGGGAGGTCTTGTACTGTAGTGTAATCTTCACCCTTCCATAGGTGTCCTTTTGTTTGATGGAGAATTTTGTAACTTTGTTCCAGAGTTTTTGGTTTCATGTTAAATTTGTGCGTTTCGCATTGCAGTTTGGGTTTTATCTTTTTTTTAAGGAAGGCAGCAATGCGTAATAAAGTTTAAGTAAAAGTGTTAAAATGCATTTCGGATACAAGCTTCACTTGACTAGCAGAATTCGAACTAATACAAAACTATTCAGTTGTAATAATGTACTGAAATGAAATAGCATGAATTACATATTCTAGCATTAATACGTTAAATTCCATTAAGATGGTAGCATTAACAGGTCGAATTATCCACAAAACAACCCCTAGATTCTAGTATTCAACAGAACTGTTTCGGTTAATACCAAAAATTACACATTAGCTCTACATCACTATTCCTGTTGCGAATTCTTTCACCCTGTCAAAAATTTACACCGAAAACTTCTGCAGATTTCACGAGAATTACACCATGGGCACATTTAGGATGTGAATCTTATTAAGCTCAGTCTCACAATGCACTCAGCTCTGGGTTCTCCTGCACTGGAGTGATTTACTGCTGACAGTTTGCTTCTTTTTGGACGACAGTGCACCGATGTTTCAGTCATTGCCAAAGCCAAAATGACCGCTAGTCCACTGGGTTGCAAGGAAAATTTACGACGATTGATCTAATCCGCCTCCCCGAGACCGTCACTGCCATCCCCTCTTTTGGTGATCGGAGCCATACCACGTTTCTTGCCATGAGATGCAACCTCTGCATTTTTTCTCAGCACAGCACCAGGTGACGGATATGGTCTTTGTTGGAATAAAGGTCCCTGTAAATTAAACAATAAAAAAGACCTCATTGTTCTGTGTATGATATGATACTACCACAGTTTGGTCTATATATAGGTAAAAATCATAACTCATAAGGTATTGTAGGTAGATACTAGATACCAGACATGATATTGTAAATACCTTATGCATAATAATTCCGGTTTGCCCATAGAAATAAACAAAAGTACAAAACATGCAAATTGCACAGAAAATGCAACTCCGCAATAGTTAGCAGATACAGCCCAGTTCTTAGGGCTTCAAGCATAAACACAATCTAAGGTTGGTCACTAGATTATCCTATCGTATAAGACTTCCTACAGCATTTGCCAGTTGCCACCATGGAGGTGGTAAGCTTTGCTCCCAACAAAAGAGAAAGCATGTGCATGCGGTAGTAGTGTTTACCTACACAGATGGTGTACTTCTCCACATTTGCAGTTAAAGTTAAAGGGTGTTGAAAATATATTAAGAAATCAAACTTCAAATGATAAAGAAAGTTTTGCAATCAAATGACATACAGCTGCAGTAGTATCTGCTGCCCGTGGCTGCACACCCTTCAAGCCAACAACCCTGAAAAACAAGCATTTAACTTGTATCAGAGACAATTGATATAATATCCCTGTGTTCTTCCTTAATTAATTAAGCTAAAAACAAAGCACATCCTAGCTCCAACTGACAGGAAGATAGTCAATTTCAAATGAAGCATAATTAACTACCAAGATGAAAAAGATCATGTACCAGCCACCCCGTGGAGCATCTGAGTAAGAGCTTGGGTCCATCGGGTCAAGCTCATCATCCTCAGGGCGATTTCTTTTGCGGTGATCTTTTCTGTTTGCTTTGCCAAATGGAGGTTTTGCGCTTGATCTGCACATATAGCACAATCTCAATAGCCATACACATGCTGCAATACTTTTGTTCTTCAGGTATACAATGCATAGAAAACTGGGAATCTGTTGGTGACATAAACTAGGACAAACAACATTTTGAAGAAGCATAATGTAAATCTCATATACCTGTCCTTGGCTGCTACATTCCCTGGATTTTTGTTACTGCTTGAGTGTGTAGTATTGTTTGGGTAGGATGGATACTGTTGAAAAGGAAGATTTTGAACCCTGCAAGGGGAATTCACAGATCAACATTAAGCTAAAATCTTCAGAAGCACCAAATTAGTTTATTTATAGTATAAAAACAACACATGCAATCTTAGATCAGGATTCTGGAGATTGACTGCATTACATCTCCGATGACCAAAAAAAACCATGAATATAATTTAGACCATATTGAGTGGATCCAAAAGTAGGTATGCTTTCAGGCAACATCATGGCTTCTATATGATAGAAATAAATCACCCGAACTTCAGAACACAGAAGTTACTCAAAAAAGATAAATTACAGATAGATACAGTACCTTGTGCAGTGATTGCAATAACCCCATGGCTGGACAAGACCTACACCCCATCCACCACAGCCTAAACATCTCTGCATTTGAGAGTTCCAAATATCTGTATTTTGAGCAGCCATCTCAACAGCAGCATTGGTGGGAGCATGAGGCGCAACACCTGGGTTCACAGCAGTAGGCGGCTCCCACTGTGTTGCTTGTGTATTTGTATTGTAATAGTATTTCTGGCCTAAATCACGCAGAAACCATGTCAATAAGTCAATAAAAAAAGTGTATAAGCATTGCCCTAAAAAAAATATCAATGAGCCTAGCTCGATAAACATATAAATAATAATCAGTGCTGGCTGGGTACATTGATTGGTCCAACCCAGCCTATCATTTATGAGCCAAATGCATTACTTTTTTTTTGTTATCTTTTAGAAGCTGGGGCTTAACAGACACAGGGCCCCATTAGAGCCAAACATACTCATGAGGCCATAAGCTTAGAAACAAAACAGTGACATTTTCACTCTTACAGAGAGAGAGAGAGAGAGAGAGAGAGAGAGATGTTTATAGAAATGCTATAGCACCTGTTGATTGATCAAGTGCCTCCTCCCAATTCTCTGGCAAGGACGAGGATGGAGGAGCTTGATGTTGCATGGTGTTCAAAGGAGCACCAGGGCGATCCCATTGGGTCGTTCCAGTGCTCTGATTATAGAAATAAGAAGCACCACTTGTTGGATCTTTTGCTTCAACCTAAAACCAAATAAGTTATCCCTTAAAACATAAGATACAACACTTGTAGCCACTGTTACTATCAAAATACAGTCAGCACCAATAAAAAAAGAGCTGTTAAAGGATAAAACATATAATAGCCCGTCCAGGTATACACAGCAAACAGAAAGTAATAAACTAATGTCTAGAATTACAAGTTAGAGAACTAGTTGAGTGCCCATGCTATGGGAAACCGAAATGCGTAGGAATGCACAGGCATTTGACAAAGAAAATCAAGATATACTAGCCCAACAACCAACATATCAAGTAGACAAGTTAACCACATAACAGAACAGAAAATATATGAATAAGATTGTTTACTTACCCAACCAGGAGGCAACTCTTGGGCAGCTTTTATCTGCCCTACTGGAGAATCGACCTGCAAAACGGTGCACAAACACAAGGCAAATGATACATTAACATAAAATGTGCTAGATAAAAAATGAGTACTATTTAAAGTATATAAAATCAGTGAAAGCATAATCAACAGGTACAAACTACTTTCCACGTTGCTGGATTCTGTTGTAGTCATCAGTAAATTCATCTCTTTTCAATCTACTACGCAGTTTTGATAGGTTTGCCAGGAAATGTTCTTTTCATCTATGTTACTTGTACACATATGATACTGCATGATATCAATTGATTCTACCATGAATAATAAGATCAGTTTACAGCTTATATGCATCCGTCCTGTTTGTATTTTGTTTAGTTGCGGAAACAACTAATTTAAGAATTATAACTTACATTTTGTTTAATCGTGAATCTATTATTTGTCGCCTCATCTTTAAGAATACCCCTTGCTCTTAATCTCTGCCTCAAAAATTCAGGGAGATCATCGGCACCTTTTGCTTTATCAGCTATATCCTTGGGTTTATCTGAAAGGAAAGAATATTAGTTAAACCCAACCATTTGTAAATATTTTAAAGCAGTACTAACTTAGAGAGAAGTGCTATACTCATTTGACCACTTGACATGTTTGCAGCATAATAAGCACCCCCTCCTGGTACACCATAGCCATTGCCAATTTCAACATTGCCTGGAAGCATGCATAATCATCAGGTTAGCAAAGAGGGTCAACTACATCCTCAGTGTAAACGATGTAATACAGCAGGTACACAGTGGCAGAGGGTCATTGCTATTGATAATCCTTTTAAGACATGTAGCGTAATCATTTTATTTCTATCCAATTACAGCCCTTTCTATCATATTAAGAGATTGGCACATCAGCAGCACTTCTTCCCTAAACATCTATCACTAAATTAGAGTGCTCTATTGTTTCCCAGGAGAGAGAGAGAGAGAAGGAGAGGGAAGAAGAAGAAGTGTTCTATTGTGGTATCTTATCAGTTGTCACTCCAGTATGCATGAAGATGCAAAGATTCTACTCAAACTAGTATACCAAGTCATACTTGTGCTATCTAGAACTTATTCTTTTACTCATAGTTTTGACTTAAATGAAACCAGAGTCACTAAACTATACTCCTAGCCAACAGTTGACCATCCCTATTTTGGCACCATGCTCTGTCAGTCTGTCACTGCGGTTACATAGCATAAAGTTCTCAAGGAATGGTACGGAACATAATACAGTGAACTAATTATAACCAAAATGATTTTATAAGATTTTTCTCTATGTGTACAATAGTTCTTCCCCTTCCCCCTAGAATTCAAAACATAAGCAGAAAAGGGTGAAAATAGACAAGACAGTATAATAATTATATATCACTGAAACATAACTATGAAATACCATTATCTGCATGAAGCGGCTTCCCCCTTTTGTTTGCCATCTCTGCACGATGCTCGGCTGTCATTTTTAGTAAGTGCTCCTGAAAAATCCAAGAAAACGATATTGAATTAACAAATGAGGGTCATGAGAAATAAATGAAGGAGAAAAATCCACAGAAGGAAAAGACAAGTAAACTGTGAACCTTCAATGCATTAGGGTTGCGGCGGTTTGAAAGGAGGTCTTCTCCATACTGCGTAGGCTCAATTGTTGCTTTTGCTTGTCTGAGTTGAAAATTTCACGGATATATCAAAGAGATACAGATAGCCAGCACAAAGTAAAATGGAAACAACAGAAAACAAACCAACCTTTGATTTTGTATGACTTGCTGAGTCTCAATGTCCTAGTTATCAGATGTAACCACTGATTAATAAGACAGCACTGTAACTGCATGTATAATCTAGATCATGTGGAAGATATGAATACCTGTTCACGAAGAACAGCCTCTTGGACAGCAGATTCAATGTCTGCTGCACTATCATTATGGTTGGAAACTTCATGAGCTGTCTGATTTGATTGTGCACCCCCAGCATCCATGTTAGGGAAAGGCATGGTGGGTTGTGCAGCAGCAGAGTAGCTCGCTGCATTGTGATTGCTGCCATTGTTGGGTGTAGCGCCATAAGGTGTTGCATAAGGCTGTGGATTAGGTTGAAATTTTGCAGGATGAATGGAAGGTGGCGGCGGCCATGCCCCGACACCAGGGGGTAATGGCTGTTCGTGTGAGTTATCCATAAGTAAGAAACAAGCTAAATTTTCACAAGCTTATGCTAACAAAGAAAACCTGCAAAACAAGGGAACCGATGCAGCGATATCAGATTTAGATTCACATTTCTTCCTATTAGGGACTATAATCAGATTCCCACATCCCATGATTCCACATAATCTTATTACATCTTTGTGCTACCATTATACTAGATCTTTCTTCTTTTTTAAGACACTCAAAATTACATATATGGCACGAGCGTCACGTTATTGACCAGATACTTACAATAACCTAAGAACTAAGAAACCCTCAATCCCATTAGCAGTTAAGAGCGGAGTGGTTTTTCTTCATGAGAAGACAACAACAGGTTCAAATGCAATATCTAAGACATCTGTAAACGAGTTCATCAGTGATGACACTAAAAAGCCCTGAACCTTACTCCACTAGCAGTAGTTTCTGTGTGATTCATGAAACATAAGAGGAGGAGGCCAGATACCAGCGGCCAGCGAGGATACGGCGGAGGGGGAAGCCTCCGAGCGGGGAGCTAGGGATTTGGTGGAGGAGTCGCCAAATCTCACCTAGTCTGCCGGTATCCGGCGGGGGGGTCGCCGTTCGCCGCCTCCGGTCGTCCTCGAATCTGCCCGGGGGGCGTCGCGAGATTGGACGGGAAGCAGGAGGAGCCGCAGGAGCGTGCGCCGTCGGAGCTCTCCTGCTCCGGAAGCTCCGTCGACTGTCGCCGCCGCCGCGTACGCCTCCCGCCTCGCAGAACCCTAGCCTCCGGCGCGGTGGCGGAGCCGAGCCGAGCGAAGGAGCCGAACCAGCGCCGCCGCCCGCAACCACGCCGCCGGTGCTCTAGTGAAATTCCAAGTCCAAAACAGGGATCATTTTGCAAAATTATACGGTAACAGTCGTAAATACTAGGGTGCTTTGTGAAAAAATTTCAGGACCTCTACCAATTGAGCCCGAGTGGCCCATAGTACACCGGAGCCCAATTGGGTTGAAACAAACAGCTACAAAGCCCGTCAGTGTATTGCCCATTTAAAAAGGCCCAGTAAGCCTAGCTCACCGGCCAGGCTGCCACAGCCCACAGGACACTTCGCGTCGACTGATAACGATTCTGGCCTGTTTAGTTTGTAACTTTTGTGTCCGAACTCAACGTGGGGGAAATAAAACACGAAGACAACGAATCAAATTGTTTGGCGTGGTTGAATTGCACATTTGCACGCGTCCTGTAAGAACATTGGAACGCTACTGTGTTCGACATCCGTTTCTCAACCTTTATTCTTTTCCGTCCATGCGTATTTTACTCGTTAAGAGTAGGGAATATCAAATTACTACTCGATAAGGAGTGTGTCATATGGAAGTCTGTTGTCTCTGAGTTCTACTTAGAGATTAAGGTGATTTGTGGTAAAAATACATACCCCTGAGAGGTACAATAGATCAAATCTTAGAGCAAGACATCCACCACCGCAGAAGCAATCCGGAGGACTTGAAGCCTATTCACCAGTAGATCTCGTTGAGCTCCTCTCGACAAGGATCTCGTCGGTAATTTCGGAGTTCAATTGTTCCCTTTTGTATTCTGTGGTTTCCTGTATAATCTCATATAAACTGGATTAGCGCTATTATATTACGAGGGGCTTGAAGCCCTGAACCAGCATAATGTTTGTTTTTTTGTGTGCTTGATGTTGTATCGTGTAGATTCTTATAGCCTCGTTACCCTCCTAACACGGTCCACGGGTATCCCCCGTCCACAATACGTTAACAGATCGCTCCGTTTTATATGCGGGAAGTTGTCAACCTCCATCTCCAAACGTAACCAAAAATGAATGCAGTACACAGCTTTAGGCTGCGTTTGGAACGTTGTGTTCCCAAATTATATGCACGGAAAATAGAACGGTCTATTAGCGCATGATTAATTAAGTTTTTGCTAACTTTTTTTTAAAAATAGATAATATGATTTTTGTAAGCAACTTTCGTATAGAAACTTTTTTGAAAAAACCACACCGAATAGTTTGAAAAATATGCGCACGAAAAACGAAAATGAGAGTTAGGAACAAAGAGTTCCGAACACAGCCTATTAAGTCGTGACCCGAACAGAAACACGGTAGATTTTACTATAACAGCGATCGAAACGAACAACTTTGTAAAAAAAAATGGCAATAAGCAAATTTTTGTCATTGCCAAAATGTATGGTAGGATGGGCCGAAGGATACCAAACAAATATCATTAGCAGCAGCATGGATGTATATTAGTAGTACGATATCTTTCCTATTATTGGGCCATGATATAATTTAATATTCCTGATAAGATCTCAGTCTAATTAAGCTGTGATTCTGCAACTTTTTTTTTCTGATATCTGCCTAATCTCAAGTCAACTGTTTCTGTCATCCCCCATATATCACCAGAAAACTTGCTGCTCCATCTATCATCTTTCTCGCAGGTCAGCTTTCCAGCCTGCCAGTTAATCTGATCATCCTGCCACGCTAAACAGATAATGCATTTTTAATCCATCCGCACTGTACTCATGCTTGCTGATGCCAATAAAAACGGATGAGCGCATGTTCCGTTTCTGAAACCTCCACCGTGTTTCTCTTAAGTTCAGCAATTTAGGTTGTGTTCTTCTCCCCATTTTCCCAACCCACCTCTCTCGTTTTCCCCACACACAATTTTCAAACTGTTAAATGGTGTGATTTATGTAAAAAAAGTTGTTTAAAAAAATCATATCAATCCTTTTTTTAAAAAATAATTAATACTTAATTAATCATACAATAAAACAAACTTCGTTTTGCGTGCTAAGCAGCATGCGATCAGTGCACCATTAAACTAGTACTAATTTATTTTTGAAGCGAAACAAAGCATTTTGCAACCTCAATTACGTAGCATATGCATATGGTCTAAGTTTTAAAAAAAAAATGGAAAAGCGTATGGTCTGCGGATACATCCGGACAGCTCAGGATCAGATCGATGTAGAAGTATGCATCTGGTGCGATCGTGATCCGGATTTTGGCATGTGGTACTGGTTGTCTGACGTGGTTAGCTCATCTTATCTCATCCCTATGAATCAGAGGCAAGAGCGAGAGAAACGACCTGAGCTGTGAAAGCCGACAGAACTGTTGAATCAACGTGCATATATCATTCGTCCCAAGATGAATTGGTTTCGATAACAAATCAAAATGCATAAGTTAATTTTGACTATAGGTACGAACAACTTATTTTGAGACGGTACAAGAGCAGTGCAAGATATACAATGCGTGCCTCTGCCGCCCGTCTAAAGCTACGAAATCAGTGTCAGAGCCACGAGCTCCACAACGCAAGTGCGAGGAAATCGTTTCTTTGATGTGGCATGAAGGGACGAGTCGGAGCAACAAGTCCCAAAGCACCTTTCTGTTCTGACGAGACGAAGAATGTGTCTCCTTATGTGGGGGCGAGAGACTCAGTAGGGACGCGCGTTTTGTCAACACGTAGGCGAATATACTAGCCGGCGATACGCTATAAAAGCTCTAAGAGGATGCATGTCTCTCAACTGCGTACAAGTTTTAAAATTAGATTTTGAAGTTGAATTTGGTTTCTTTTGCACTAGCTTTCACAAAGTTAAGGAAAGCAGACATATGTAAACCTTTAGCTGTAAATTATTTTTCTATTGTTCTATTTATTCTTTTTCACGGCGTAGCTTCACGGATCAAGGGTGAGATGAAACGTCAAACGTGCCTTGTGATTATCTTTTCTCGTACTGCGTCGTTGGTAGTACAGGAGTTCTCACTTTTTTGGGCCCCCACGCAAACAGCCAAAACCTGGTTCACGAGTCGGATTTCGCGACGTCCTCGGGTGCGTCCGGTTCGTCGCTTTCTTGGCCTCTCGGCCGGATCCCACCCACCCGCCCGCATTATCGTCCAGATACGAAGCCCCACGTCATCCTGCCCATACGCGGTGGGGGCCAGGTTCACTCTCCCTTTCCCACGTCCTTACCCGCACGAATCGCGAAGCGCGCATCGACGGCGCACAGACCGCCACGTGGCATCCGTGGGCCATATAAGCTCACCATCTCAGCTCCGAACACTACGCCCCCCTGTTCTTCTTCTTCCTCCTCTCCCCTCTCGCCGTGCTGGTGGTGAGTGAGGCGGCGAGCGGCGAGCTCCTCCGGTGATCCGAGGCTCGCCGGCCGGCGAGAGCTTGCCTGTTTCGGGAGGTTTTCAGGGTGATCTGAGAGCACAGCGAGCCGATGGCGGCGGCGGCGAACGGGGCGGCGTGCTGCGGTGGCGCGACGGGGCCAGGGTACGCGACGCCGCTGGAGGCCATGGAGAAGGGCCCGAGGGAGAAGCTCCTCTACGTCACCTGCGTCTACAACGGTAAGCGAAGATTTCTATCCCAACACAGTGGACATATTATCCCACTAGCTACATGGAGCAATGGAGACGTCTGCGATTCTGCGTTACTCACAGATCTTGGGGGGTTTAATCGAGGATTAATTTAGCAAGGTCAATTAGACTTTGCTGATGTAGAGTAGTACCACGCGTGCTCAAGAACTGACAACTGAAATCACCTGGATTGGATGGACACAGTTCTTAGTTTAATCCTGGAAGGGATTTCTTTAATACTGAGTGAGTGCTTGGGGTGAAAGAGACCCGTCATAAAATTAGCCCGAATTCGAGTCAGTACTAATATTCTACACTGTACTAAACCTGCTTTAGATCTCCAGTTTTGTCGGAATTCAGTTGAACAGTGTGTTTCGCAACTTTCCCATGGGCCATATTGAGGCAATTTTTAACCACCTAGTATTTGTTGTGATGAAGACAAAGGATTAGAGTGTGTGCGCGCTTTAATTTAATTCCTGCCACTTTAGTGGATGAGTAACCAAATTGATTGGATTTTCACCACAAAATGTTGGTTCTCCATGGCAGAAGAAAACACCATCTATATGTCCCTGTATGTAAGCTAAGGTTTACATGGTTTATTCTTGACAGTCTGAACAAAAGAATAGGTCAGAGTTTCTTGCAGGTGTCATGAATTTGTTTTGATGGATTATGAATCAACATGAACAGGTACTGGAATTAACAAGCCGGATTACCTGGGTACGGTGGACGTGGACCCCAATTCCCCTACATACTCCCAAGTGATCCACAGGCTCCCAGTCACCCATGTCGGCGATGAGCTGCATCACTCTGGATGGAACGCTTGCAGTTCTTGCCATGGTGATCCATCGGCTAGCCGCCGTTTCTTGATTCTGCCTTCGTTGCTGTGAGTGTTAATGTGGCTATATTTAGATGGATGGATGAATCCTCGTATCTGTTGATGTTAAACAGCGAACTGGATTTGTAAATTGCTCCAATGTCTGTTGCAGGTCTGGCCGTGTGTATGTCGTTGACACGCTGAAGGACCCAAGGGCGCCTGCCTTGCATAAGGTGGTCGAGGCTGAGGACATTGCTGAGAAGACAGGGCTTGGATTTCCTCATACATCTCATTGCCTGGCATCTGGGGAGATAATGATTTCTTGCCTTGGGGATAAGGAGGGAAATGCTGCTGGCAATGGCTTCCTCCTGCTGGATTCTGAATTCAATGTCAAAGGACGGTGAGTTCCTTTATCACAATTCTGTGCATTTTGACGCAGAACCATAGTATGTTAAATGTGGACAAAATTATAGTGGGTAATCTATCAACATAAAACCACCTCATCCATATTTTACAACCTAGCAAAATCATCAGTATTGTGAAGTTACGAGCATAGAAGTTCATCAATACTTGTGACTATTACTATGGATGTCAATTTAAGGACAAATTCCATCTTCGTGTTCATTTCCATAATGCCCATTCCAGGATATGTTCCATGAAATGTCAATTTATGTTACACATATTTGCATGACTTTTGAAAGATAACCATAGTATTTCCCTTCTCGCAGTTGGGAAAAGCCAGGTCACAGCCCCTTGTTTGGCTATGATTATTGGTATCAACCTCGTCACAAGACAATGATCAGTTCATCATGGGGAGCACCTGCAGCTTTCAGGACTGGTTTTGATCTTCAGCATGTGCAGGATGGTCTCTATGGAAGACATCTGCACGTGTATGACTGGCCTGGTGGTGAGCTCAAGCAGACACTAGATTTAGGCAGTACAGGTCTTCTTCCACTTGAGGTGCGTATCAAATGTTGAGACTAAAAGGGATGCATCAAGCCGTCAACATATCAAATAACCATATATCACTGCTTTTCTTCTGTGCAGGTGAGGTTTTTACATGATCCATCAAAGGATACTGGGTATGTGGGCTGTGCTCTGACAAGCAACATGGTCAGATTTTTCAAGACTGCAGATGGATCATGGAGCCATGAGGTTTGTCCATAACTCCATGCCAATGTTCTTGCTATTTTCTTGTATAAAGCCCTATTTGTCCAATTTGTTTAGTTGTTTACTCTCCTTATGCTTGCATGACATGACATGACAGGTTGCTATATCTATAAAACCATTGAAAGTGCGCAACTGGATTCTGCCTGAAATGCCAGGACTGATAACTGATTTTGTTATCTCTCTGGATGATCGCTATCTCTACTTGGTCAACTGGCTTCATGGTGATATCAGGCAGTACAACATCGAGGACCCTGCGAAGCCTGTGTTGGCTGGACAAGTATGGGCAGGAGGCCTTCTTCAAAAGGGCAGTGAGGTTGTGTATGTAACTGAGGATGACAAAGAAGAGCAGTACAGTGTGCCCCAGGTCAAGGTAATTATATCTCATTCCTCTTGGAATTCTCAGTTCATAATATTATCCAGAATTGTTGGTACTTATAATTTGTTGTAGTTGTTCAATCTGGTTCATTTGATAAGATATCAAGTACCAAAATGGACCTAAAAAGTATCAAGCTACTATACTTACATCCACCTGCTATCATGCTGTTGGAATTGCGTGTACTTGTTCTGAAGAACACTTCATCTGCATTGGAATTGTGTGTACTTGTTCTGAAGAACAAATTTTAGTCGCTTAAATATTACTCATATGAACCATCTTGTATCAGGGTCATCGACTTAGAGGTGGGCCACAGATGATTCAGCTGAGCCTGGATGGGAAGAGGATATATGTGACCAACTCTCTTTTCAGCCGATGGGACGAGCAGTTCTATGGCCAAGATCTTGTCAAGAAGGGCTCCCACATGTTGCAGATCGACGTCGACACTGAGAAAGGAGGACTATCGATCAACCCTAACTTCTTTGTAGATTTTGGTGCTGAGCCAGAGGGTCCCTCCTTGGCCCATGAGATGAGATATCCTGGTGGAGATTGCACCTCTGATATATGGATATAAAGATCTTGAAGGATTTGCATACACTCAGGTGTTGATTCATCCTGTGTATTCACTGTAACTAAGACTGTATGCTTGCTGTGGTCTATATGTAATTTCGATGGTAACAAGTCCCCATAATACCTAGAACATTCACTCCATGGCTCATTTGGTAACATTAGCTTAATAAAGAGATGTATCCAATGGTGCACTTTCTGCTAGTGTTTGGATTTTGAGCTATCTGATTAAATTTCTCCAATAATTTGCTGTTGAAATGGCCCTGTAGCTTTTCAGTTACAACAATCTGCATTGGCCAACCTTTGCTGAACTGGGCTTGTCAGTTCTCAGAACTCAAAAGGCTTTGCTTTTATCAAGATGAATCTGATGCCCTATTGCCCTGAAATCTCTGCAGGCCGATTTCGAGCATGAATCCTTTCTAAGAAAAAAAAATTGCACAGTATTAGTAGTAGTAGTTGATAAGGGACAAGGCAATTAGGCAAAGTTCTTCACCTGGCACCATCGGTGGTTGGAGGTGTTAAAGAAGCTCTCTGAATGAAAGTGCAGAGATATTTAACTATTTGTCACTCTTACAAATGATAATTAAGAATTTATTACTGAACCCATATTATCATATACGTATGAGAGCCCATATGTTATAGACTGCGAGTGGCGAATCCTTAATTATCACACCTTAAAAGTAGAGCGAGGTTGGACGGAGCGGCCGCCGCATCGCCGATGGTAAAGGGACTAGCTATATTTAGTTCCTATTTGATCAAGTAGTCCATGTGTTGGATGCAAAAGCCTGAACAATTGTCTATGTCAGAAAATTTCGATTATAATGCATAAATGAACAGACATGTCTGACCATACTGTTTCATCAAACATGTCGAGAGTTGAGTAGAAGTGTTGATCGGTGTTCTCTTCACTGTCACAGAATTTGCAGCTGAGTAGAAAAGTTAATCAAATCGATAGGCTAGATGAACCGCAGCTGTGTTCTTGGACTTAAAAAAGCTACTCAATCCGTCCTATAAAAAACAAACTATATAAAATATGACACATTCTAAAACTATGAATCTAGACATATATTGGACTAAGTTTGTTTTTTATAGAATGGACGGAATAGGTGAGGATATATCCATGGAATTTAAATCAATTAATGGTACAATGCTAGATTATACAGCGTTACAAAACCAGCCCTAAAAATCAACATATATAACCAAACACAGAAGAAACATCTAAAGGATTCAAAACCGATGACGACGTGAGGGCACGATATCTGATAACGGAGTTCAACTGCAGCCTACATCTCCGACGCACTGATTACGGTAGTCCAAGACCATTGACCGCAGCCGTAATCGCACCTATGCTACTATTGCCTTACGGCCTTACGGTTAGAACATGTGTGCCTCTCTATTTAGGATAGAGTATAAGACATAGTCCAACTTTAATTCTATCTTACACATATTGCAACTTCATGTTCATTCCATACATATTCTAACACGTAGAGAGCCTGAAATCTCAGCCTCTTACACACCTTACTTCTGTCAAGGCAAGAAGAAACTGACGGCTTGAATACCCCTGCAGGTTGATTTCGATCATGAATTATGGATGCAACTAGTGCCGATTCTTTCTTCTTTGAAAAATTGTACAACTAGGGCTTTTATTCCCTATCATCTCGAATTTAAATAACGCATTGAACCAGTCATGTCCAGCCATCACAAGGATTTCTTTAACGAAATAAAATCAGACAGAAAAAAAACTACCAATGGCATGGTCTGACTTCTGCCGACGCCAGCCACGGAGGGTTATTGAAAAATGCAAAATCCAGAACGAAAACTGTCATCGTCTTGACATAGTATGTCCCAGCAACAAACATAATCTTGGTTCTCTTTCATCTGATGTTCTAGCAGAACAGTTTATGATTAGCAAGGAGGCGACTTTTGCAACAAGTCTTGATTGCATTAACAACTATCCTATACGACATCTTATATCTAAACTTGAACAATACTAATCGTTTTTCATAAACAGAGCGGCAATATGATCTGAATTCCGAATCAACATTTTCAGAAAAGCACCCGCCTAGTAAATCGAACCCAATCCGACAGATTTGCAGTGTTATTTTAAAAGATTTATTACTCTGTAGGAAAAGGATCGTACGTGAAGCCTATATTTGTTGGAGTTGACCTGAATTTATAATAAACATTCAATGATGATACAAACTGCAAAGACAGCTTGAGAGGAACACTAGAACACTGAACTCTGAACCATTCTACATGAGGTAGTACATTGTCATAAACAAACGTCGCAAACGACCGGTCTAATGCGTGCTCTACCACTCAAAGTGGCAAAACCAATCGACCAAACAAATTCATATCTCTTCCTCTTTGATCTCCTCCCCCTTCTCAGTCTCAAGAGCTTACATTTCGTGTTCGACAAATTTTCATCAAGAAATCTCAAGAACACGTCGTGTTCAGGCAAAAGAACGACAGAGACAAGAGGCGATCGATGGCAGTGGCCATGGCGAAGCTGCTCATCACCGGGCTGAGCACGGCGATCACCTGCTCGTCCGCGGTGGCGTTCAAGGGCGCCGCCGTGGCCGTCGTGCTCCTGCTCAGGCTGGTCCAGCTCCCGGGCCAGCTCGGCTGCCTCCTCCTCTGCGCCATCAGGGAAGCCGTCGAGAGGGCCGTGGCGGCCGCCTTCGCCGCGGCCGGTGACGCCGTCGCTGCGGCGGCGGACGCCGCGGCGGGCGCGTGGAGGGACGCCGCGGCGTCGAACGGCACCGCGGTGGTGGCGCTCGTGCAGGCCGCCATGGGCAGGCCCGAGGCGCTGCTCGCCGCCGCCGGCGAGGTGGCGGCGTTCGCGTGGGAGGTGGCCAAGCAGACGGCGTCCAACTCCACGGCCACCTTCCTCGACGCCGCCCTGTTCGTCGCCCGCCATGCCAGGGCGTGACATCACGTGTTCTTGCCTAGGCTACTATGCTCTTGCTCAAAAAAAGCAAAAAAAAATATATATTTTTTCTGTAAATAAATTAATTGAACTGCACGTTCATAATCATAAACTAATTTTGGCCCATTTGCTGAAAAGTCTATTTTACCTCCCTCAACTTAACCGAATCTAATTCGTATATGGGCCAGAATTGAGGCCCATATAAATAAGGCCCATTTCGAGCGGGTGGGTTTGTTTTGGTACGAGTAGCATTTTCTATTATTTTATTTTGTTGACGATAGTTGAGGCTTAGATATTTTCGTGGCCGCATTCGAAGGAAGAAGAGATTTTTTCTTTTGGGCCAAGTGGGGGAGCTTTACCTACAAAAACCCTAGCCGCCTCCGCCTCTGTAAAACCCTCAGGTCGGCCTCCCTCCTCTCCTCGTCCCTCCTCCCCGCCGCCGCCGCAGCAGGTACGTCGGCATCTCGCCTCGTTCCTCTTGGATTCCGGATGCTCGTTCCCCGACGGATCTGGATGATCCATTGACCCCCTTCGCTGGATTCGGGGTCAAATCGGTCGTTAAGGGGAGGGGGGGGGGATGGTTGGTTCATATGTACATGCGTGTTGTTGATGGATTCTACTCGTTCCACCACTAGGTAGAGGTGGGATTTGTTTGTTGTTGATAGATTCTACTCGTTCCACCGCTAGGTGGAGGTGGGGATTTGTTCTCTGTATTTGGTTAGCTATTTTGTAACTAGTTATGCGATTTTCGGCCTCTGATTTGGCTTAGATCCATGCATGAAATTGGTCAAATCGTTTGATTTGTTATGATTTGTGGTTCGTTTGTAGTTGGTCCTGGTTGGTTTAGATTAGATTGGTCGAAGACCGCTGTGAGATGAATAATCGGCGGAAACCATTTTTTATGGTAGGGTTTCCCCGTAGGCCCTGGATTGTTTGGCTGCTTATGATTAAAAATCACTGTGTACTGATGGTTAACAATGCGCGGCTACGGGTTTTCGCAGATTTAATCCTCAATGGCGGCCTTCAACAAGCTCGGTAGCTTCCTCAGGCACAGTGGCTTGACAAGCAGTGCCTCGGCCGGCTCTTCCCCTGCCATGTTCAATGCTGCTCGTCTGATGTCCACCAAGCTTTTCGTTGGTGGTGAGTTTTTTGTTTTGTTGTGTTGATTCTGATGGTATGCAAAGTAGCATTTTTTTTACATTGACTTATTCCCTCTTGTCTCTTAGGTCTTTCTTGGAATACTAATGACGATTCGCTGAAAGAGGCATTCACCAGCTTCGGGGATGTGACTGAAGGTCAGATTTCTGAATAATGTGGATACATCTTTTTTCTGATGTGGTCAATGTTGTACTTGTTTCGGGATCTAATCAGTTATAGTTTACGTGTTGCAGCTCGGGTGATCAATGACAGAGAATCTGGAAGGTCAAGAGGGTTTGGCTTTGTTAGCTTTGCCAATGGCGATGATGCCAAGAGTGCCATGGATGCCATGGACGGTAAGGTGAGTCAAGACAAGATCCACTGCTACTCCTTTTCAATTTGAGCTACTGTCCTGTATCATTGTGTTAGTTTGAGTATGTAAGTGTATTAGAATGTTGTGGAATATGTTTCAGTTCTATAACATGTGAATACGGTTTGTTTTGAGATGCATGCTTTTCTGGAAGTGTGTTTTACTCTCTTTTTTTGGTTTTGCCTCACCGATGAATGTTCTGTCTAGTTGTGCCTAAATTGTTGAGGACAGACATGTACCCTTGCTAGGCCTCATTTTGTTTTGCATTTCCATTGCTTGCAGGAACTTGAGGGACGGAGTATCCGCGTGAACTTCGCGAATGAGAGACCTCCAGGGAACCGAGGTGGCGGCGGGTATGGTGGTGGTGGCGGTGGTTATGGTAACCAAGGAGGCTATGGTGATGGCAACCGAGGCTATGGAGGGCAGTACTAAAGTGGGCACTGACTTGCTTAAATAATGAGCTTAGGACCTGATGTGGCTTATGTGAAGCCTTATTATTGTTTACTTTTGTACCGTTTAGTATCCGTCGTCGTTGAAATTCTAGGTGAAGATTAAATCTTCATATTGCACTTTATATGCTTGGCGTGAAGGCCTAGGATGCGAATGGTGCTTTTTTGTGAGTGAGAACTGAGAACACATGCATGTCTTCATATCTATTGCAATGTGTAGAGGGTCATTACTCGAGTGTGTCAGCAAGTCTTATTATTTCATATTTGATCTGCATCGAGCATTCGTTCACAAGACAAATCGCCTGAGCAGCGTCCGTGAACATTTGATCAACGTGATGTGTATTCTCTGCGTTGCTTCCTGTCATTTGTTGTCCGTTGTATTTTTTTTCCTGCTGAATGTTCTCTCTTGGCTTTTACTTGCCGTTTAAACTAAAATTTCGGCAATGTGCACATATTTACCAATATGAACTACTTGCTGATGTTAAAAGCAAGTTTAGGTTGTTTTTTAATACAGGATTTTTCACATAAACAGTTCCATGTTTGATTCAGCTGATTATTATAATTTAGATAGATTATTGTGAGAGATTATTATAATCTAGAACCCCATATTAATCTTCTCAAAAGATGTTTTTTAAAAAAGATTATTAAGATTATTGGGTGCTTAAGATCGATTTTTCCTAAAGACTTCAAAAAAAATTCCTGAAGACTTAAAGAAATTACCTACCTCTGTCATCCAAAGAAATTATCTACCTCTGTCATCCATCTGAACAAATAGTTGAGGGTAATCTTTCAAACCCAATAATCTATGCCTTCATCAATAATTCAGAGAAACAAATAGTTAAGGGCATTATAGATGTCTTAGTTAAGGGCATTATAGATGTCTTTCAAACCCAGTAATCTATGTTTTCAATAATTTAAATAAACAAACAACTCATAAATCTGGCTCATCAATATTACAATAATTTTAAATTGAAACAAGCATGACCTTACCTTCAAAATTCCTGAAATTTTCTCCAATTCAAATAAGCTTCAATGGAAGAAATGACCCTGACCACTAGCTGTATTAGAATTTAGAGCTACATCCGCAGTCTATAAGGTTATCTTAGCGCCCTTTCTCTCACTTATCACTTCTCCTTTTAATTCATCACTACCTCGCCCTTCGCACCCTCTCTCTCACTTATCAATTCTCATCTTACTTCATCTCTATCTCTCTGTTTTTTTTTATAACCTATCTCTCTGTTATACTGAGCCCTTCGCACAAACTCTTTGTTATACTTCCGTTGTTCACCATCTTTGTTTCAATTTTGATCGCTAATAACTTTTAATTAACTAAAGTTGCATGTTTGTATTTATGGCACAACACACATTATCAATACAACATACTTTGAGATAATACAATTTTGTTTTTTCTTTAATTACGAGCGATCAAAGTTGTGAATGATATCTGGTGGATATTATTTGAAACCGGTATGTTTTTAGTTTTTACTCCCTCAGCCCTAAAGTATAACCTATTATGGGATCTAACAATTACGATTTTTACGAGGGAGGAAGTACACATTTTCGTCTTCATTTCTCGATAACATTCTAACAAACCTACAACGGCAACTGCCGGAGGAAAGAAGACGGTTTTGAGCATTAGGGATACAAGTGGTTTGACCCATGAACCCACTTATCTGTTCTATAAGTGGGTTCGTGAGCTAGCCCACTTACAGCCTGTTTGGTTGGAGGAAGTTTTTAGAAGGGACTGGGAGTTTAGAGGGATGAGGCTATTAACTGTTTTGTTTGGTTGGGGGACATGAGAATTTTGGTGGAATGGGGATGGGGAATTGAGGAATAAACTCCCTCCTTTTCAATGCCTGGGTAGGTACAGGTAATTGGGAGGGAATTTCTCCTTTACTTCGCCTAAACAAATCTCAGCCTCCGTTTTCATTAATGACCTAATCTCCAACTAAACTCCCTATCAATTTTCACCACCTCTACCAAACAAGAGACTGGCATGAAAAATCAAATTCCCATCTTAATCTCACTATCAATTCCATCGTGTAAACTCCCAATCCCTTCCCTCAAGTTGCCAAACAAGCCGTTAGGGATTATACAGATTAATGTCATTTCAAACCATACCATTTTTTGGTAAAGTATTCAAATATGTGCATCCATTTAGTTTTTTTTATCAAATTCAGTAAATACATAATAAATCCGGTCAAAACTTGGTAATATTATCAAATTAGTAAAATTTGATAAGGTTTAATTTGGCTACAATCCGAATGGGCCCTTACACCCCTACTGGGGCAGGTGGCAGCGGAACGGGTTCAGATTGGGCCATTGGGCCACATGGCATATTTCCCTTCTTTCCCAAAGCCGTGAGCCCTCAAACCCTAGACTTGGGGAGAGCATCGCAGCCTCAGTCAGAGAGAGCTCACCGACGCCATGGATCCTTCACACCACCACCACCACCACCACCACCGTCTCCACCTCCACCTCGATCCGCGGCACCACCACCACGTCCACATCCGCTTCTGCCCCCACCACCATGGCCACATCACCCCCCACCCGCTCGCTCCCGCTCCGGCTCCGGCTCCGGCCGCCCACCGCACGACACCGGCGGCGCCTTGGCCGCTGCACGCCGGCGCGGGGCCGAACGACGGGTACGCACACTGCTTGTTTCGGTGATTAAATTAATTAGCCGATGGATTAGGGGGTGATGAATAGTTACCGTTTCCTTGATGGGAGCAGGCCGCAGGGGGAGGCGACGAACGAGGCGGCGGCGCTGCATCTGGAGCAAGCAGAGGAGGTGATTTTGGTCGGGGAGGAGGAGGAGGAAGAGGAGGAGCCGGTTTTTGTTCTGACCGACGAGTGGGCGGAATTCTTCGCCAAATCCGACGCAAAGAGGAGACTCGGTAATAACCATTCATCATCTCATCTCATCTCATCATCTCCTTCCTTCTTTCTCTGAATTGCTAGCGTTCGCGAAAAAAAAAAATCTCTGAATTGCTATCCTTTCTTTCTCTGAAATTGCTCTCTGCTGTAGCATCTCCTCACAGGCATATGTATTACTATGCATCTGAGTATATCTGATCATCTCTCTCGTTTGGTGCAGCTAAACAGCAGCAGAAGAAGAACAAGGGTCGGAAGAAGTAGATACTGCCATACTGGTCGTGTTCGTGTTTCCGTGGAGTAACACAGAGCTTAAAGAAACGAGAAATATTTTTTTTAGGGAAAAACGAGAAATATTTGAAATGAAGCGAAGACGATAACTGTTACGAGAATGGGTGGGGGATGGGGTAGTGGCAGCTTTGATGTACTTTTGGTCTTACCAAAGTTTTTACTCTGATGTGTAACGCATACTGATGTTAATTCATCCGGTTTTACAGGATGAAGGGTGCGTACTGTTTTACAAGCTAGAGAGTAAAAAGTATTTCCTCCGTCCCAAAATATAAAAGAAATATAAAGGATTGATGGATGTGAAGCTAGCTTTGTAGTAGTAGATACGTCACATCTACCCAAAATATCTTATATTTTGTGAGTTAATTGTTTTTTAACATAGTATGAACGTAAATACTCACATATATACGCGCACTTACCTCTTTAAACTCGTTTGCGCATACACTATCAGTATAAGCACATTCAATAGATCAAGCTAGCATATCTTAAAATTAGTGTAGTCATTATATGTTATAGATGTTTTATTACCGTAAATACGTCCACCCGCGGTAAATTGAGCCAAGCTCACTTTGCGATATAAGTTGAATTATAGTAGAATCCAAAGGCGAAAAATAGACCCGAAAATTTTATTCCCGAGTGATATTTCTGGTGCCAAACAGCCAATTATGTTAACCTAAATGCCATGTAATAAACATGCTAACCCGTGAAATACTTCAGGATGTCAGACACTAATAGACGGGCAGACACAGATTCAGTAATGGCTCAATTACCACATAATTGCTTGATCACTTCTCTCGCAATAAAAAAAAAAACTCAAAATTTACCTCGTAGACAGCTATTTCGTATAGAAAAAATGCAGGGAAAACACACTATGAACAATAGCAGAAACAAAACCACAACAGCATGCAAGGAACGAGTGAAATTATAATGGCGAAAACTAACAGGAACACCGCTCACGTACAAAAATAGGATCATGCACACATTGTTAACTGTAGTATGTACAACCGTGCAAGCCTGTTGTCCCCTAGCATTATTCCTACACAGTGCAAAAATTGCAATCAAAATTCTTCCTACAACGAACATATCTGCGGTTAGTAGAGTTACAAAATAGCTGGACGGCGAACAGCTCATCCAAGTTTACATCACAAGATCAAAGGTTAGGCCATTAAGTCTGTACTCTGCATTCCAAATTGTTCAAACAACAGAATACATAAGAGTTAAACAAATGTCATGTATCCACAACTTCTGTTCGTGTTACGCGATAGGACCAAACTGCACCTTCAATCAAGGTATTTCTAAAAATTCTGGTGCAGCATGTACCTCTGAATGGCCTGTTAATACGATGAAATATGTGATGTTGTACATTGCTGATCATGTGCTTCTTTGTAAAGCTCAGGAGAATTCATGACTTGTTTTGCATCTAACAAAATTCCAACAATTATCCTACTTCCGGTGCTTCCTTTTAGTTTCCGTTCTTGATCGCTTTTCCTCTTCCCATTCTCTCTCATGTACTCTGCAGTTCAAACAAGCTTAATCAGGAATAGGCAATTTAACAAAGAGCAAGCATAAAAAAGGATATTTACCATAAATTACAGCTCAAGCAGAGATATTACATCACATTAAATGGTATGCGCGATTTAAAAAAGATATGTACCAGGCACTCTTTTGTTAAGTGGCAACTGGCAAGCCGCATAATATATTTAGTAATGTGTTCTTATATAGTATGATTTAATATAGCATCAAAGATTACCACCATATAGGTCATAAATCTAAATATCCAGTTATCTACAAAAATGAAACAAAAATTTATGAACCATCAATTCATGGCAACGCATTACTCTAAAACTGTCTATATCGAACAGTAGACACCCATAAACAGAAGAATTTGTGTATAGGTGTCTTTATCTGATGTGCCAAATGTTTAACAGGAGGGATCTGAATGGAGTTCCTATATGAAACAAATCGACATTATAAAATGATAAAAAAAAACCTTTTAGATGATGACAAACAATGTGGTGCACACAATCATACTAGGGCATCCACATAAATATCTCGTCGATCAGCAACACAGCATATGCCACACAGAAGTAGGGTTTTAGAGTTCAGTGGTTGCAACATGGTATATGCATTTGGGAAGGTGCACTTCCCTTTCTACGTTCCTTAATAGGCCTAATAACTAAATATATACTCTCTCCGTTCCAAAATATAACAACTTTTAGCCCTCAGGATTCGTCCCAAAATATAACAACTTCTCCACCAACATTTTCTTCCTAACCAATTACAACCCTCCACCATTCACTTTTCCAACCTACCTCCACTGTTCATCCAATCACAACCCTCCACCATTCACTTCTATCTACTTTCTTAATAACCGTGTCCAACTCTAAAACTTCTTATATTATGGGATGGAGGGAGTAGCATTTTAGGATCTATCTTCCAGTCCCTAAGAATATGTGATCTATGTTTCCTAAAAGAGCCAAAAGGAATAATCGTGTCCACGGCAGTTAGTTTTAAGGGAGGAGAACGGTAAAAATATAAGACTTGAAGCTTTGCGCTATGAATAAAAAATGATCCTTCCAGCAAATTCATTATGTGGTTCACATAACTTTAGAATATATGCACTGAAACAGTAATGTAATGTTGCAAATTGTACGAAGATGTGCTATGCTTATTTGGAGAGAATATATTATTTCCTAAACTTACTGGTCAGCCTCTCTACGACTTGTCTTGCTCGAGTCCTTTCCATGTATTCTAGGAAGGTCATCAGCATGGGATATCCGATGCTGTGAAATTGCCCCCTTTCGTTCTCGCTCTCGTGTTTCAAACACTTGTGAGCTACTGGTTCCATGACTGGGAAGCTGTGGAGCAGAAGGTGCGTATTCCCCAGCTTCTAAACCAGACTGATCTCTCTTGATCTTTCGCCGTTTGGAAGCACTATTAGGATCACTTTCATCCTTCACAATACTACTTTTGTCCCTATCCCGGTCATCTACCTGTAAAAACAACAAAGCGTTAGCAAGAAAATCAAGTATGCTCTTGGGAAGCCTTCATGCACACTAGTTTGAAGCCAAATCATTCGAGTGATATAGCTTTCAAGTGACAACGACAAGTACTTAGTACAACACGATCATTTTATGAAACTGAACAAGAGCAAAGAGTGGTCACAAATAACAGAAGATGGAGATGATTAACACATTTACCTTGCTTGACGAAACATCCCTATCTTCACGCTTTCTGTCCCGAATATCTTCCTCTCTCCGGTGCTTTCCATCATCCTGCAACGACGCAGCATTGTCCTCCAAGTGCCACTTTTCTTTATCATCACGCCTAGGAGATGATCGTTGGTTATGCCTAGTACTACCACCCCTTCGATCGGTATCTTCATCTCTCCTGTTACCAACTGATTGGGGTACAAAACTTGCTGGAAGGGGTGGAGGTGGTGGCAAGCTTTGTCCTCGGAACCGTTCATCAGAAGGATGTGCACGATCTATGGATGGTTCAGCATGCTTAACTTTATTTCTCTCCTCCTTATTCCTGTCTTCTCTTCCTTTATCAGGAGCTCTATCTGTCCCTCTTTCTTGCATTCTTTCAATAGAACGCTCTCTCCTTTCCAATGATTTGTCTGTTGGTCTCTCGATGTCTTCCCCTCGACGCCTCTCAGTTCGATCTGCTTTTTCTCTAGGATCCCGGTCATATTTGTCATCAGCCTTTTCTTTTGATTTCTCTGGCCTACTTAGGATTTGTTCCTCGCTAGCACTCTTGTCATGATCCATGGGACGAAATTTATCTACCAATCGCGAGTCCAAATTTCTGTCCTTGTCAGTGTGTTCTGTGAAGTCACCATCCCGGCCTTCACTCTCTCCTTTCCTCCATTTAGTTCCTCTATCTTGTTCTTCAGTAGGAACAAACCTCTTTTGCTGTTTCATATTAGAGTCAATCAAGTCAGTAGATTCACCAGAGGAATTAGCTGCTCCACCAGTATGTGTAGCCAACAGTGTTGATTTTTGGGAGGATGCTGATACCTTCCGTGGAGCCGTATGTAAGTTACCATTGCTAGCAGCCAAAGAATTACTGGTGGTATCTTGCACACCATCAGCTGCCTGAGACAATACTTCTTTATCAACAGGAACAGAGGAGCCTTGTTGAGTAACACCTCTGTTTGTAGATTTCCCAGATTTTGTATCTTCCTTTACCATATCATGCTTAGATACCTTGCCAGCATTGTGTGCCACACGCTTTTGGGGCACCCTTGTCTGTTGTAGCAAAAACAATTAGAAGTTGATTGACAGGATAAATGCGTAGCATTAAATTGCTCAATGCTTTGCATCCAAACAAAATAAAGCAGCATAAATTACCCTAGTTATACAATAGTTTAAATCATTTATACGATAAACAGGTAAAAAAATACGTACCTCAGATTCTGCAGTAGGCTTTGAAACCTTAACTCCCTCATCAGATAGAAGTTTGGGAGGTTCATCAGAACCTCGTATAATCCCTGAAACTTTTCCTTGTGCAGAAGAAGATGGCATTTGGTTATCAGATCCATTTGCAGCCAAGGCATTTTTCTTTTGTTGAGCATCAGGCTTCATGGCAGCTTCTGACCGTTCATGCCTACCCTCAATGGATTTTGCACGAACACTCTGATCTTTTGCTGTCAAAGGATCTGCTGATTGATTTCCTACAGGAGATCCAAAAATTATTCATCCTTTAACCTAATGATTTCAACCAAAGATGTGCACCTTTTGTATGTTCTATTTACCAGGCACAATTTTTGCTGGCCCTTGCTTAAGATCAAGGAGACCCATGCCGAACTCTTCTTCAGATAGCCATGAGCTCTGCATAAGATCCAGCATACCACATGTACATATCATGACTATAAAATCAGGTGCCTCCTAGTAGGCTGAATAAATAATTACAAAGGTGTAACACAATATTTTACCTTGCGGGCTGCCAAAGCAGCAGCTACACCAGTTGCCAGAACTTTCAGATCTTCCCTTTCATCCCCCTTCAGCTTAGCAACCTGGTAAAAAGTACTGGTGAGGAAGTCTGACAAAAGAGCAGAAATAATACCGACTACTATTGGTACTTACACGTTTCTCAAGATTGACTCCACTTTTGCGTATCACAGGAAAAATGCTAGATATCTTTGTGAGCACAATAAGGGCGTTTCTGATTTCCATGTATTCTTTTGATTCCATGCACTGGTTCAGCACCTTAGTTATTCGTCCACTCCACTTCCAATGAACCTGTCAGACAAAACATATTACATACAGAAAATGGCAAAGTGAATTATGACTAATATTTTGCATGTTGGCTCATTTTTTTTCTCATGATTTTGGAGGTGCAAATGAAGATGCAGCAAAATCAGAGAAGACCAGTCCACATGCTGCATCATGCATAAGCTCCCGAGTTTGGAATCAATAAGTTTCTGGTGCATATTTTGCAAATTTAGCCAATAACTACTCCATAGGAAAATCATTCAACAGGTATCAGAAAACATATGATTTAGGTTGAATGAGGGCAAGTTCTTATAATCGAAGAACTCAATGCCTTCAAAATTTTCCAAACAAACCTCATCCAGTTACTCACAATGAGAGGTACAATGTTAGCATCTAAACATGGTTTTGCCATTGACGAACCACATTGGATTATTTACTGAAACTGAAAACTTTTTTTTTGTTTTTTGCATATGTACAGCCAAGGGCCCAGGGAGCACAATCTGGAACTTCCACGGATTACCATATGACCACATCCCATACTGGGGTTCCATGTCATTGCCCACTTGTCTTAATATGAAAGACACCACTGCAAGTATTAGCCCTACAGTTTGCTATCTTTTAATGGTCTATAAACAAACCAAGATCTTTTTGTTAGATGTGTTGTATAACTAGCTGTGTATAATTGGAACTTGGAGGTGACAAAACATACAGAAAAAAATAATTATGCCATGTATAACTGCAAGGAGTGAGTGTAGCATACTCGAACAAACTGGCTATAAGATACACGCTGGCTATTTGGATATCTGATGTACACAGCGAAACCTGGCTTATTTCCACATTCACGCTCATATAAAGATTCATCGCTCTGCAAAAGGTGACGTGAATAGAAGCATTAAAAAACCAGCAAAAAAACTATCCAATAAAACTATGGTTGAAAGAATGTGGCAACCAAATACCTTCCAACGGTAGGCCATCTTCAGTGTCTCATGAAGAAACCTTCCCAGCCTGCCAGCCTCATACTCTGTGCAGCAACAAATCATTGGCTGTAGAGTTTTGCAGATGAAAACATCGATATGATTCACCGTGTTGAAAAATGGAGTCTCGAGTGAGTGCAGTGTTTGGACAAACATAGCACAATACACAGCATCTTGCATGCTAAAAACACAGCGAGGGAATATGCAGCGCTGGAAAAATTCCATGTTGATCTTCAGAGCATCTGGACTGGAATTTAACCACTTAACCTTTTCACGACCTAGCCTTTGGAGCACTGATGCAATGTGTTGTTGGTGCTTATGTGATTCATTGTTCAATTTGTCAAGCAAATCTTGGATTCTCTCCTTGTCCTTCTTGCGTCGTGAGATTGCAATACTAGAGTTATCCGAATTATCTTCCAGTTGTTTAAGATTTTCATGCAGCTTCTTTATTTCTGCATCATAACGATCTTTGGGGAAATGAAGATCATATAGTGTTAACCCCCAGAAAGTAGCATATAAATCAGGTGATAAACCATTCCAGGTTTTTGCTGGGAAAGTGTTCCGGACTGTGCTAAGAAGATCAGACCACCTGCACCAAAACAGAATACATTGAGTATGTAAAATACCATTATATGCCAAATAAGAGAAATGTGTGAACTACAGTTGACCAAGGAGGATTCACAAGTTAAAACTTATATAAGGACTACGGTACAGTTACTACAAACTAGTTCTTACCAACCTTCCAGGGACCCCAAGGTCATCCATTGTCTCGCTTTAACCTTTTTCATTCTTATTATGTCTACGCTTCTAGTGAGGTTAATAATCATCTATTGAAAGATGTGGACTGAATCTTGTGTGTAAGCCAGTAACACAGAAGTTGAAAATAAAACAAAATGTAGTGTATGCATCACTTTAGGTCATATGATATTAAAGGATTGTGGTTTATGGTATAATGTGAATTACAATCTCTACACTGAGTAAAAGGCCATCAAACTCATCAATAGATGTTCATAAAATACTTACATGATTGACTTATGAGATGTGTCAGGATGCAATATCAGATCATCACATGATACAGACTCCCCTTCTTCATTGTCATCCAAAGGCCAATAGGTGTCACCTCCATTAGTGCTTTTGAAAAGTCTCATCACAGGTCGGTATATAAGAAAAGCAACCTAGATTGAAGTGAAAGTATTAGTACGCTCACTCAAGTAGAGGTGCAACAAATAATAGGATAATCCCATGCACAAAAACAATTGAGGCACATGGTAAGGAGTGTATTACGTCAGGCTCGATATGATACTTATTAATCAGATCTTCCAGCGGAGGTATTAGTTGAACATAAGTTGTTGGAGTTACTGCAGTTGAAAGAAACTCAACATACTGAAGTAGTATTCCATGGCACCGATCAAACTGCTCACTGACCATTTTGATATATGTGGCATCAGCATTAATTATAATCCTGAGAAAATAGCAAGACCAAGTTTAAATATTGATACCAAAAGTAAAGGTTGGATATGACAATCACCAGGACAAACACATGAAGTTATACAGCAATCCCACAATTAAAAATAATAAAGGATTAGTCATTTGATGCTCTCTTGGCATATTATCAGCATCTGAAACAAAATATTTCCAAAGATTTTGGTTCATATCTTGTTAGTATGTCATGCCATCTATATTACAATCATTGTATTGCATAATTATGACAGACTTAAGTCCACCTTAGTCGAGGGCAAAAGGGAAATGGAGTCAATTTGTGCCCACCAGGGTTCAAAAAACAGGTAATAACTAATGAGCAGCGTATGGGCAGGACAACAAAGAATTGCAGACGATGTTCCAAGATGTTAAATAAAACCTTACTTGGATCGATGCTGAGCAATAAGCAGTAAAAGGGGAATGGCAAGTTTAGGTTCTTCTTTTGGAAGCAAAGAATCCCTCAATTTGTTTGTAGACTTGGTCAGAACCTACAAAATAAAATATATTTCTTTAGTGAATGGACTTCAACATGGCATTGCGAATGAAGAAATGTTGCCTCATGACCTTAGAATTTCTTGTTGATCCAAATAGTGATGAAGCTTGAAGCCGCAATGTTTCACTCCCTGCCATAGCATCAACCTGCTCCTCAGTCATGTTCTCAGTGTATTGCACATTTGCCATTTGCTGAATGAGTTCCTGCAGGAGTGATCATATTAGACTTCAGACACATACAATTCCAAGGTAGCAAGGGGAAGCTTGACAGTAGCCAGTAGTAGACCTCGAGTACAACAAGCTCAATGCCTGTGTCTTTCTTCAGCTGATTAACAAGGTACTGAAAAAGGCTTCTTAGCTCCACCGAATGATGCTTCTTGCACCTGTTAAAATGTATTGGTTCAAAAAAGAGTTCATCAGCAGTGATGGCATGCTTGCACAACAATAAAAACATAATAATCCTATTACTGAGAAAGGAAAGACATAATGTGTGAAAATGCAGAATGTATAGTTCAGGAGTTAATACATACAGGTGCCCCCAGAATGATGCAAGACACTGAAGCCAATCAGATAGATTAAGACCATCATCTTTAAGTTTCTCACGGCCACCTTGAGCCAAGCGTTCAATTACAATATATTGCAAGATGTCAAACTCCAGCTGCAACAAAGCAAACAAGAAAATGCTATAAACAGAACCCATAGAAACCAGAATGTACATAGATAAAATAAAATGACACAAGTAACACAAAGTCACAAAGCATACAGCACAAACATGGCATATACCTGAGTCAAGTATTTAAAAGCATCGACGACTGGAGTTATCATGTCCCTATATGCTTCAACCTGAAAGTTGTGAGATGTATTATAGAGGAGAAAAAATAGAGGCACAAAAAATGATAAAAAAATAATCAGGAATTTCTGGAATAAAGCAATTATAATAAATCCCATCCAAAAAAAGAGCAACAAGGGATATCAAGGGTGCGTTCTTTTATGATGGTTGGGAACACTTCCCCCTAAAACGGAGCGACGAATTAACGCATGATTAATTAAATATTAGCTAAAAAACTTGAAAAATGGATTAATATGATTTTTAGAAACAACTTTCCTATATAACTTTTTTTTTGCAAAAAAAAGAGCACCATTTAGCAGTTTGGGAAGCATGCGCGCAGAAAACGATTGAGTAGAAGCTAGGAAAGGGGAGAAAAGAACACCGTAAGGTGAACTTCCAAAATCACTAGATATAGATTAACCCAATAAAAAGATCTCTGTTCCTTTGGAAAAATTAACTCCTAAAAAAGTTTGGTGGCATAGTTACAAACTTACAATCAATAATGATTGTGCTAATTCACAGAGACTAACATGAAAGAGTTCAAAATGTCCCCCTCTGGAAGGGAATTATTTGAGGGGTCCAGTGCATACCAACAGTATGAGATTATCATACACCTAGAAATGTCACTGCTAAGAGGGCAATTGTCAAAGTAAGAGCATCTAATGCACAACGAGCTAGTGAAGGGTGCCAATGCTAGAAGTTTGCATTTGCTAATCACAGGTTGTTGGTGTAAAAAAAATTGTGGGGATAAATGCAGTTAGGATTAAGCTGTAAGAAGATGTGGCATGGATCAGCTAGCTCCAAACCAGAGAAGTAAAAAAGGAACAAGGAGGAATAAATCATTTACTAAAATAAGTAAATAACAACAGTCGCCGGTCTAATGGAAGTAGTTACATCTCATGTTTCCAAAGAAAAACATTGTGTTTAACTGCAATGTTATATACATATTTTGAATAACTTTATCCCAAGTACTCCCCCCGATTCATATTATAAGTCACTTTGACTTTTTCCTAGTTAAACTTTTTTAAGTTTGACCAAGTTTATAGAAAAATTTAGCAACATCTAAAACACCAAATCAGTTTCATTAAACCTAACATTGAATATATTTTGGTAATATGTTTTGTTTCACTACTTTAAGTTTGACCAGAAAAAAAGACAAAGCTACTTATAATATGAAATGGAGGGAGTAGCAACTATATGCACTTGTTCATTCAAGATACCTGTTGGATAATTGTCCGAAGTACTGTCATTGGATTTGCATGGGCAAGTTTAGCCACCATGCGGCCAAGTTGCTTCAGATTTTCCTTAGCAAGCCGCTTTAAGAGCCTTCTGGTATCCAACTAATCAAAAAAATAAGGACAGTTAATTGACAGCTGAAGATAAAATTATAGGGGAAACATAAGAAAACTCAGTCATGGAATAAATAATCAACCTTTGCAGTTTGCCTTGCAGCAAGGACAATTGGGTTTTGTTCGGTATCCTTCTCCCATTCACCATATAAGCGATAACGGGTCTAAAAATGAGTGGCACAATTGTAAAACATTGTTTACAAATGAATTGGGCAAATAAACAAACTATGAACAATACTACGAACCTCATAAGGAAGAAGAGAAAGAACTCCCCATATCTCCATATCAACAGCAGGATTTGCAGGTATAAGCTGCAATGATGGTAGCAAGCACGATCCAAGTGCTTCTTCAATTCGCGAGTCTGGAGACATTACACCTGCTGTACGGATTGACTCTTTTGCTGACAGATGGTACGCTTTAAGTACTCTGCAAACCTGTAGTTAACATGGAGAATGCTACATTAGGTAAAACATGCAACAACTTGTTAATAGATACTCCAGGTGATACTGCATAATGGAAACATTTAATAATAGGATAGTTCGTTTGAATATGCAACAACTTGTCAATAGAACCCATTTGCACTATAAGCTACAAGACATTATAAATTATCTGTAGTAGTTAAGCAACAAGAACGGTGTTTTTTACTTATTGAATTATTACAACAATGCAAGCCAGAAAACAAAAATCTGGTCACAAGCCTCATGGCAACCATAAAACCATTGATTGGATAAAAGAACTCATGATAACTAGTTTACACAAATTTTAACAACACAAGACAAATAATACATGTGATAGGGGTATTAGAGAAAATCTCCAGTCAAAAACAGAAGCCGGAAGCATGTCATGTTCAAGCATGAACTGCTATGAGAATATTAGCAGAGAAAATAAACAACACTACCTTCTGAAATAATTGTGTGTTACGATGAAGGTATGGTCCACAAGCAGAAAGCATTTGGAAAAACTCTTTCGGCGGATCAACCGAAAAACTTTGTGAAGAGGAAGGTGATGTGTCCATCATATAAACAGGGTTACGAGGCATCTTATAATGTGTTTGGAAAATTATATCATAGACTGAAGAAATACTCCTTTCAATAAGTCTGCATGAACAAAAAAACAAAATTGAATAATATTAACCAGGGAATGTGTTGTAATACAAGGGCATATGTATCAAGCACCATCATATGCCCTGTTTGCAGAGAACTACAAGTAATGTTGAGGATGCTTGCATATGCAGAGAAAGTTGACAAACCTAAATAAACTATCACAAATTTCAACATGCTCAACAGGATTTAGGCGTGCAAGACGCTCAAAGAGGAGTTGTGCATGATCCCTGCCAAACAATGGTAGAATTCAGTTACCAAAAGTATAATAAGTACAAAAAAGGATAGATGTATTAACTGCTAAATGCAATTATATATTTAACCAAATAGCAAGCAGACAAAATAAATTGATGGAACACATGAACATTACCAATCATGAACTGACAGGAAACCAAGAAGAAGTCCAAGTTTCTGGTTCTTTTCAATCTCAGGGGCTCGCTCATCAATTATATCATTTTCCATCTCCAATGCTGTGTACAAATCAATAGTTATTTCTTGCTTCTCGTCATCCATAAGGTCCTTCCCAGTGGCAGCAAGATTTATTTTGCCTATATTACTAGCCTGGAATTAAGAAAGAGAGGGCTAAGTTCCAGAAATTGCAAAATACACCACAACCATTAAAGTGCTGAAGTACAAACAAACAAATCCTGATTATTTTCAATTACAGAACCATTTAACCTGATAGATTCTGAAATGACTTCACCGGAATGTATGAACAAATTTGCATGCTCAACTTGAAATTTTTCAGCTACAAAAAAATAAAGTTCCGCCATTCCACAACCAAAGTTGTTTTGCTACGTAAGGGTTACATCTTGTTAACAGAAGGTACCTATATTTAAAGATAAATACCCATACACCACAATAAAGCCAACATCTACATATCTGTCAATCCAAAATGTTACTTTCGATTTTATTCCCCACACATTCATTTTGCATATATCCTCTAATCCCTATATCCCCAGATCGTTTTTTTATCCTAATCCCAAAGGTTATGCATTATCATGGTGTTATTTCCTGCATATACAGAATCATGATTTACAACATTGTCTTTCTTCCTCTTTTAAAACAGTGGGATTTCATTTTGTTACATAGCAAAATTGCAAAATAAAAAGAAGGGGAGGGGGGGCTTGGTGTCGCACTATCAATTGAATTTGTACTTTTATCATTTCAAGTTTAAATCTGTAATGAGATGGCATACATACAACTCTCTTTCACAATGCCTGGATATAGCAAATATTTCCAAAAACATGAACTTCAGGAGGACAAAATGAATATTAACCTCATCGATTTTCCTCGTGACGAAGGAGTCAAAATGCTCAAATGCCTCATCATCATTTGGAAGTAAATGAGCATAGCTGCAATACAATTCAGATATAAGTCATGACTCATGAGAGTTGGAGTTGAAAGGCCATTCCCAAGTAGATATATTGTGGCAAAAAAAAGTCATGCTCATATAGTGTAGTAGGAATCAGGAACGTAAAAACAATCCATAACTAGAAACCATGATTGCACCAGTAGCCGCACTAATACATTATGAGCAATCATAATGATAAATTGATAACTTGAAACCATAATCAGTGTAACCTTTAACACACCAGTAGCTGTACTAATACATTTTGAGCAAAATCGATAATGGTAGAGTGCCACACAGAATCAGAGGAAATTAAAAAAATTCTTGTTATTAAAGAACAGGAGCCAATGTAAAGAGTTAACACTGAAGAAAAAGTAGAGTCCAAAGTTGGAGAGTAAATCCCAATACGAAGGCATTAATTACATGCATACATTAATTTACATGGACATAAACCTTATTAGAGGATGTATGTGTTTTTTTAAAAAAAAAAAGTGTGCTTAAAGCATAGTAGATATTTTTATAAAGAATACAAATTGCAGATTTTGTTTTGGGTGATGTCTAACATCACTGTAACCATCAGGAAGTCAAGGAGATTTAGTAAACTTACAGGCTATCAAGGTCAATAAAACCAGATTTGACCAACAAAGCTGCTATCCGGAAAAGCCCAGGTGGAACAGTGCTATTGACATCCAATCGTTGGTAATATTGGAACTTGAACCCCAATATTTGAGCAGCATGGGACTGCAATAAAAGGAAGTAGTAAAATAGGCTGAAATATTGTATGAAGTATGCTAATAATCTTTAGAGGAGGTTTACATTATTATATTAAAAGGAATATAACCATATGAAGTATGAAGTATACTCTATGAAGTATGATAAAGGAATACCTTAGGGAAAAGAGGTATAAGCTGACAAAAGATGGTATTATCCGGATAGAGCTCAAAACATTCCAGAACCTAGCAGAATACAAGAATAACATCACTACATGCTTTCGGTAACACGCTTTCACACAGTACAATGCATAACAAAAAAGTGGACAGCAAATCAAAACTCACAATATCAAACACACGATTTGGGTCCAGGTCAAAATGCCCAATCAATGACTGCCATAAAAAACATAATGTTATATCACAAAGATGCTCAAATGCTTAAATAACAGTACAGGAGGAAGAAAGGAATATTCTAGAGCACACCTTTATAATGCTCATAGTAACTGAAGAAGAATTTTGACAAGCCAAATCTGAACCAATTTGACAAAGGAGGGTTACCTGAACAATCCAGAAGCAAATATGATAAGAAGGTTAAAAACAACGGAACTTCAGTAAATCATCACAGAAATTAACTGAAGATGTGTCAAAAAAAATCCAGGTGTGCCTTCTAGTGGAACATGTGTCAAAAAAATTGCTGCAAAAGAATAGGGATACTGTGCTATCCACTATTTTCTGATCCAACTAGACTGTTTTAGATCAGTTACAAATTGAACATCAAAACAAACTAATTTATTTGTAGATACCTCATGAACTATAACCTGTATAACTAAGGTCAAACAATAATTAGGTCGTTTAAGGGAGTGTAGAAACTGGACACACACCAAACACAGTTTTCTAGATTCTGTTACTCCTTTCAAACAGCGTGCAGAAAATATAGTGGTTCTGATTTCTGAAGTTTCCTAAGAAAATACTCAGTTCATCATAAGAACAAACATAAGAGGTTTGGCGGATAGAAATACGTACCAATTTGGCGTAGCCCTCACTTTCCTCTCTTAAAAGGTTGAATTTAGTTTGCTGATAAAGGAGACGTGTGTTGACCCTGACCTATAACCAATAATTGAAGCAGACATATAGTAAATGAATAGATAAAGAAAAAAAAGTAAAAAAAGTTGACACAAAATTTAGGAGGAGAGTAGTGTTCATGAACCACTGCTGGAAACTATAGGCATTAATAGTAACCCGAATGAACACCAAAATGATAGAAGCATTCGCTAAAAGAATATCCATTGTATTATTATGTGAAAGCATACCTCCTTAGCCTTCAAATCCTGCCCCTTTGACTTACTCAGTTCAACCTCCCAGAGGAACTCTTCCTTCAAGCATGAAAGCACAGTAAATAGAGATAGCTTGCGTCAGTCTTGAAATTAGTAGCAACAAACATGCGGTGCCCTAGTGCAACAGAAAACAACACTTACCTCGCATCGCTCTTGAAGGAGCCTAGGCGCAATCAATGACGACTCCACAAATGATTTGGTCTACAAGGAAGAGCATTCAGATGGGAATTACTGAACACTACAATGCAAACGAAATGAGAGAAAAGAAAGAAAGTTTTATTTGCATTACTAATATTATGAACAAGTTAAGAGCATCCTAAAGGGTTGTTACCATTTTGACAAGACGGCTGCGATATTCACCAGAGATTGTAACCTGCACATAGATAAGTCAGCTCAACTACTAAGGCGACATTCAATCATTCCAAAAAATATATGAGTACAAAAATTTCAGGGGTAAAGCAGAGCTGCATAGTTCTGAAAAGGATACATCTCAAACTTTAGTCCTCGCAAATAATAAAGAATGGCCAAGGGATGAAGGCCGTATAGATATAGCAAGGGAAACATAAGGAGTGGAAGGATAGGAGCAAAAGACTGAAAGGAAGAAAGCATTTGCACTTGTGGAATAACAAAAGTACTTAGCTGCATCTTAATGACTCCATCTCTTTTGGTATATAACAAGATCAGTTCAATTTTGCTCTAGTAACTGATCAAGATTCAAGATATATAGTGCAATACATGATGAACATGAGCAGTCCTTTTGGAATATTGTTGTTTGCTTTCCACATAATCTCATCGAAGATCTACACTATCACTGCAAAGAGAGGGGATACGCTGCTAGCTATAATGCATGTTCATATGTAAAAGTGCTTAAAGCTAAGATATATTTGGGCTATCTGTGAACATCCGAAGCGTATTCCTTGACTCTCAAACCATTATAGTGCCCTTCGTATTCCTTGACTCTCAAACCATTATAGTGCCCGTTTCTGTTCTTCCAAGCACTGGTACTTTCATGTTCACCAGTAAGACCATGGATATGGTAAGTTCCTGCACTAACTTCAGTGGAATACCTTTTATCCACAGCATCGACTCAAAACCTAACCATGGCTACAACATCCTAGCAAGAAACTACTATCATCAAAATCAGTAACATCATAATTCAAACAGATTGTCAATTCAGCCGGCACAACAAGTAGCGCATGCACTATGAAGTGACCAATTCAACACAGTCTTGCATGGAGAGTAACTCCCATCAATCTCGAATTCTCACATATTGACTAGATCAAATTCACTCAACTGAACAACTGGAAGCTCACCAAGCCCCGTGCGGCAACCAAAGGAGTTGAGTATCACTTACATCCTGCCCTAGGTGGGCGATGATGTCGGCGAGTACTGAGCCGACCTCCCCTCGCTGCGCCTCCTCCACAAACTCCACCGAGTCCAGAGCCACCCGGCACTTCTGCGGCGGCAGGTCCCCCCGCACCTGCGCAAGCCCAACGCACCCAGTCAGCACCCGAGAACCAAAACCAGATCAAACCCAGCTCGCCGAGCGCGAAACCTAATCACGCGGCGGCGGCGAGGGCCGAGGAGCTAGCGGGGGAGCTCACCACCGCCCAGCAGAGCTCGTAGAGGAAGCGCGCCATGGGGACCGGATCGGGGACGCGGAAGGCGGCGGCGGCGGCGGGCTGGCCCTTCCACTCGCGGAGGCACTCCTCCGTGACGTGCTTGTAGTCGGGCGCCTGGAGAGGGGGCGACATGGCGGCGTGGGGGGCGGCGACGGGGTTAGGGTTTTGGGGAATTTAGGGTTTCATGTGAGGGGAGGAGGAAGGGGAGGGGGAGAAGGAGCGGAGGCGGCGGCGGCGGCGGCGGTGGGGCGAGAGCGAGACGCGCCCCGGGGGGGGGGGGGTGGGGGGGGGGAAGGACGGCGACGGAGGTGGAGGTCTGCGCGAAAAATTGTGAACGCGATACGGTGCCGTGGGTTTTCCCGTCTCGAGAAAATTGCATATGTACAATTGTATAAAAGTGGCTTCGCAAAAATACCATCATTCAAATGGGCTTCGCTAGAATACCATTCTGAACTGAGTACACTTCACCACTTTACCATTTTCATCATTTCTTTCATTTTAAGTTTATTTTATCATCTTTGGATCTCTTTTTGACTGAAATACCCCTAGGTCAGCAATGTTGAAGCACTTCTCTCCCAACTTGAAATGGATCTGATCTGCAACATACCGACAAGTTTATAATTTAGCATATAAATTATCCTCCATCATTTAGCATATAATTTGAGAAATAAATTTTTATTTCTCAAATTATATGCTAAATATTGGAGGAGAATTTATAGGCTAAATTATAAACTTGTTCCGTTGCAGATCAGATCATTGCACGTAAGTGCTTCAGTGTTGATGACTTAGGGGTATTTCAGTCCAAAAAGATATACAAAGATGATAAAATAAACTTAAAATGGAAGAAATGATGAAAATGGTAAAGTGGCGAAGTGTACTCAGTTGAGGATGGTATTCTAGCGAAGCCCATTTAAGTGATGGTATTTTTGCGAAGCCAGTTTTATGCGATGGTACATATGCAATTTTCTCTCCCGTCTCGCATCTCGTGGGCTGGAAAACGGGAAATGCAAAGTACGTGTTCCAGGAGATAATACGATAAAGATCGTTAAATAGATTTTTTTACAAAACTACGAATAATAGTTTATCTATAAAATACTACGGATTTGAAGCTATGTGCCAAAACACTACGGAACTAATATTAAATTATCATAGAAATATACTTCCTCCGTTTCATAATGTAAGTCATTTTAGCATTTCCCACATTCATATTAATGTTCATGAATCTAGATATATATGTCTAGATTCACGAACAACAATATGAATGTGGAAAATGCTAGAATGACTTACTTTTTTTAACGGAGGGAGTATGTTTTAGAGTTTAAATCTTAAATAATGCTGTAATGTTGAGCTATAAATATTATAGTTTTGTGATTAAATTACGGCTAAAGATTTAGTTTCATGGTAATTTTGTTACAAAGTTTGGAAAGTTAACTTTTGTAACGCCCCGACATTCATTAGCCTTTAACACAGCTAAATCACACCAGGGTGTTATGCATTACCTGTGATATAGTACCAGTCCCAGGATACACTAGCTGGTACACACAGAATAAATGTGGAATCAAAGTAAACTGCTTTATTACATCACTGGGTAGTAGTCCTTACATAAGTTGCTATCATGGACAGGCCCATAGATGAGCAACACAACATTACAGAAAACCATAAAAGCAACGGCACAGAAGCGAACAGCGCGGAGCACTAAGCGACTAAGCAACTATGCACTAGGCGAATAACCTAGGCATCTATCTTATTCCACAGGCGAGGCTTGGGGCTAGGCACGAAACATCTAGAAGTCTTCATACTCGGCTTGCTCCTGGAGATACTCCTTGGCGGTCGGGTCGATGTCTTCATCTCCATACTCTATATAATATTATAAGGGGCAAGGGTGAGTACTTAACGTACTCAGCAAGCCAGGGGAAAGAATGACATGTTTGGTTTAAACAAGGAGGCTAAGGTTTTATTTGCGAAAGCTGCCTTTTTGGGCAAAGTGATTTATTTCACAAAACTCCTAGTGAATGAGTCAAGTTTTAGTTGTCGGGAGGAGGCTCACGCCTCGACCCATTCCACAAGTTGCTTTGCAACAACTTGTCACGATTAACGAACAGCAATTAATTTGTTCCTCTATTAGTTTCTTCTCACAACAACACATAGTCCACACAGTTATCTCAGCACAACAACGCCATCTTCATGGCCCTAACAACACCTCGGTGTCAGACGACACCCCAGGTCACACAGACCCGTTCCTAACCACCCAGGTTAGCCGTCTGCCACACAGGCGGACTCTGGTAACGTTACCCTTCCCAGTAACCACTTCTTCACAAACATTTGTCAAACAAATCTACGCTATGAGAAACACCTTACACTCGCCCTTGACCGTGGGCACGGCTGTTCGAACAGTTCATTAATCTCTGCAGAGGTTGCACGCTTTACCCACACGACACGAAACTGACATCGTTTACCCGTCGGCAACGAAAGTTCGTGATAAGGCCTTTCCAAAGCTAACCCATGAAAACCGCATGCCACCTAGTTGGGCTAAGATCCATAGCCAAGTATCAGGCAATGACAGCCGTCATCCACTCAGAAAATACCGAGGATGCCTCCTACTCCTACCGGTACCACGCCACAATAGAGGCAAAAAGACACCCATGATGGGCAAAAATGTGTAACACTTCGTCTCCTCATCCTCGGCATTCCACAACCATTGGCACACCAACTCCCATGTGAAAACAATTTACTTAGCCAGAGGCATCCCATAAATACCCGTGTGGTCGCACTGTAACGTGTTTGGATGGATTTCCCAAAGGAATCGGTCCTTAACGACAATACGTAGCCAAACCACAAAGGCATGACTCCGCATCATCACCACTTTCACAACACATTTTATTTCACAATTCCTCGGTACAACATACTGGATTTTTAAACATGGATTTGGAATAACCCAAGTTTCCCACACGGCAACAACGTAAGCATGGCTAAGCGAAACTACCTCGGTAAACGAATAATGATACCGGCGCAAATATTTGTGGAGCTATCAATGGTATGGAAACATCAACCTATGTAATATAAGTGCGACTACTGGGTTGGTCCGTCGGTTGTATAAACAATCCGAGGCCTAAACATGTTAATCGTGTGAACTAACAATGCATCTTTGCAAACAACATATCATTGAAAATATAGGGGCAATGTGATCAAAGGGGCTTGCCTTGCACAGCGTTGGGGTCTTCTCCTTCGAAAGCGGCGTCCGGAGCTTCCTCGAACTCGGGCTCTAAACGCAAAAAATAAAACTAACTAAGAAAAGGCAATAAAACTAGCTCAAATCAGAGAAACAATGGTGCCACCGTGTAGATCTCAATTTTATAAAAATTTAGGAACTTGAACGGGGTCAATCGGAGTTACGGTTGATTTACTATGAATTTTCAAAGAATAAAGGATTTTCTGGAATGTTGGAAATTGACTTAAAAAAAAGGAAAAGGGAGGGGCCCACCTGTCGGTGGCTGCTAGAGAGGAAAAGGCACACGGGCCCTGCTCGTTAGTGGCAGGAAGGAATAAAGGAAGGTGGGGCCGGCTTGGCAGAGGCTTGAGGAGGCCTGCTTCTTCCTCCTCTCGCTCTTTTGCTCGGCTCGGTCTGGGATAGCGATGCGTTTCGGCGATGGGGTGCGGCGAGGCGACCGGCGGCTGAGGGAGGGCGGCGGAGAACTCCGGCGAGGCTCCACCGGCGACGGCGGCGCCGGGAGAATAGCGCGGCGGCTCTGGCTGGCAGCAACAGAGAGCAAAACGAGAGAAAGAGAGAGGAGAGAGAGATGGGGAGAGATGGTGATGGTGTGGGGAGAAGGAGCTCGGGCTGCTTCCCCTTTTATAGGCAAGCGGCGCGGTGGCGAGCTGGCGGTCTAGACGCGGAGCTCCGGGGGTAGCTGGCTAGCGGCTAGGGCGGGATTCCGGGGTGGACGAGATGGCGACGCGATGGCTTGGCGTCATGCACCGGTGGTGACTCGACGGTGAAAACGACGGCGACGCGACACGAAGTGACGCGCGGAGAGTGGGAAAGGCGACGGGACATCGATGACGCGCGGCCGACGGCGGCTACGGCCGGGATTTGGGTGGTAGGGTTCTCAGATTGATGCGACGCGAGCGACGTCACACGGTGGTGGCGATGGAACGCGAGTGAGAGGGAGGCGCGAGCTCGGCGGCTTCCCGGGAGGAGACAGACGACAAGACGACGGGCGACAGCGAAGGGACGCGCGTCCGCGAGAGCTCGGGATGGAACGGCGACGAGACGGGGGTGACGCGGGGCGACGTGGCTCCGTGTCTCCCGGAGAGGGCGCGGCGGTTTTCGTGGAGTTTGGCGCGATGCGGCTTTGGCGCGGCGTGCGGGGCGGCGCTACGTGGCCCTGGCACGTTGTGGGGCGCACGGGAGGGTGGTATGGTGCAACGCGGTACGGGAACGAGGGCGGAACGGTGCAGCGACTCGGGTCGGTATTTCGTCGAACACCTTGTGTGCATGCACTGGCTGGCTCAAGGAAGGGGACGATGAGCAGAAATGGGCTGCGCTGGGCCGGCCTGCTCAGGGGAAAGAAGAGAGGAGAGGTGGAGGAGAGTTGGGCCGAGAGAGAGGGAAGGGAAGGAGGCCCAATATGAACAGTGATATTTCTCATTTTCCCAGGGATTTATAGAGTTGAATTTTGAGGAGAATTTGAAGGGATTTGAATTTGAATTTGACCTAGAGTTTCACAGGAATTTGAAAGGCAATTCTAAGAGAGGATTTGAGATCCATTTGGCACAAAATCAACTAAGAACCAAATTAACTCCAATTTTTAAATGACAAGCTTTTTTTTTTAAATAAAAGCAAATAAAATACGGGTGCTACAACTTTGTAAGTAAAACTCTTGAAATTTTAATTCACAGGCAAAAATGCAAGTGCGTTGCAACAGGTAAAAACATTTTCGCGATTGATAAAAATTCTGCCAATTTAAACAACAAACCGAAACAAAACAAACAGAATAATAGTAAAACAAAGTCAAAAATCATATATAGCATTGAACCCGATTGCACTCGTTTCATGCGTCATCACGCGAAGAATCCCTTATGCACACATTTTCATAGCCTCACAAATTGATCGGGTGACTATTCTATAAGTTGGCGCATGTTTTTTTTCTATACACCATCGACCAAATATTGAAATTTTGATTATTCAAATTATTGGGATAAATAAAACAAGAAAAAGAGAAAAAATACATCGATTGGGGGAGGGGCACGCGGGACAGGGCCGCAGGATGGTGTGGGCCGGTTAGGTTGGGCTAGGAGGGGGAGGTTTGGGTTGGGAAGGGGTATATAGTAGTTATTCTAATTCACGTTGAATTGGATACAATGACATACAACCAACTAAAAAATCGACCAACTCAAAATTCGACTCAAACATAGATGATGTACCGAAAAATCGGCAGAAACATCTTTAATTTTTATAGAGTATTGTGAAAATAGAAAATAAGGAAAAGAAACAAAAGGAGATAAAAAAGACGTTGATCGAGGCAGCGGCACACGGGACGAGGCGGCGAGATGGTGTGAGGCGGTTCGGTTGGGCTAGGAATGGCTATATATAGTAGTTATTCTAATTCACATCGAATCGGATACGAGCGACATACAACCAGCTCAAAATCTGACTCAAACACGGATGACGTTCCAAAATTTTGGCGAAAACATCTTCAATTTTTATATTTTTATTAATTATTAATTCATATGGTAGCTTTATACTAGCTCTATAGTTTTGTGATATATCGACTTAGATATGTGTTTTTATAATAATTTGGTCAAAATGTCAGTGGTTTTATGATACTTTGGTTAAAGTGTTTGTAGCTTTGCGAAATCTACTCAAGACAATTTTTATGATGATTTCATATAATTAATCAAACATTTCATCAATATAACATATCTATGTTGTTGCCTCAATTACCGCTTACCGGTTTACAACATTTTTTTAAAGATATCGTCACAACAATTAGACTATAACAATCTTTTCCTTCTATTTGATGATAAAATTCACAAATTAACGATTCGAATTATTTCTACTTATCATAGTTTCTATTACGAGTAGAGACCATCACTATATGGTAAGTGATACTATAAACAAAAGCTAATTGATATCTTCAATGAAATTTGAGTTAGAGCACTGTCGGATGGCCAATAATAACTGATTAAAAGTCAAAACACTTATAAGCGATAAAAAATGTGGGTAAAATCTTTATACACGTGTCCTTATTGACTTAAAAAAGTCAATACTGAAAAATAAACTATAATGAAAATATTCTAAATTCATCTTCAAAATTATTTTTAAAATTTAAATTTTGATAGTGGTTGATTCTTTTTAGAGCAAATGATGAAGCCCTTCTTATATGTTTTGATATTGGCGAAGGTTGAGTTTGGATCAGCTTTTCAATCTGGTTACTTATGCTCTGCTCGGGGCTGATTAAATTGCTAAATATATGTTATTTGAAAAACTATTTGTATAAGAATTTCTTTTAAAAATCAAATAAATACATTTTTAATTCTGTTATTATAATACTCAATTAACTATATGCTAATTACTCTTTCTCATTTTTGTGCACCGCTGAAAAGCAAATCCATTAAGTTATGTCGAACAGAGCCTAAGGCTGTGTTTGGAACCCTGGTTCCCAACCCTCTCCATCGTATTCCGCGTACACACTTTTCAAACTACTAAACGGTGTTGTTATTTGTAAAAAGTTTCTATACAAAAGTTACTTAAAAAAATCATATTGATCCATTTTTTTAAAAAAATAGCTAATACTTAATTAGACCGCTCTGTTTTTTGTGTGCACTGTGCATGGTTGGGAACATATGATTCTAAACACAGCCTAAGTAACTTTAGCAAACAGGTGATGCTGAGTTCTGATACCGCTATTGCCTACTGATTTTTCTCGTGGGTTAACTAAACCAATTGCTAACGCAGCCTATAACCATCAGTAACTAGATCATATATTATGATAGTTGAATAACTTGAACTCACAGTTGATAATCATTGGCATATTTGTCTCATATAACGGGAATTACCCACTTTGCAATTTATGGACTGAAATGGACGGACGATCATACTGGGCTCACAGGCTTCAAACCTTTTGCTGCAAACGTCGATGGGACATGAACTATGGCCCATGGGTCCGCACAAGACATGCATTAGAAGGTGGCCTAATAGGCCCAAAAGGGAGTAAAGAAGCCCATAATGCTATGTCCTGTTTCCACTAGCTTTCCAGGCTTAGGAAGCCCATAACCAATCGTACCGCGAACCGATGGGCCTTCTTACTCGTGGGCCCACTCGCGCTATGGTGCCCAAAAGCTCATTATCTGGTGGAGGCCCAGGAGGCCACAGGAGGAGAAGTCCCAAATCTCTTCTTCCTTGGCTACCATTAAAGCTGTTGGCAGTTAGCACTCTACTCCACTAGTCACCCATTTTAGGCAGCATTTTTCAACTCTTCTGATCTTATCTATCTAATGGCTAGAATCACAAAGATAGAGTGACTTAACATATATCTAGGAGTAGACAAATATTTCTGATTGTGGGGACCAATCTTTATGATTTTCTAATTATTAGAATTATTTAATTTATTATGTTCAATAGGCCATGTCACTCTAGCTATATTGAGGAAATGGCCATTTGACTCGATACAATGTTGAGTGGACTAGACACATATATGTGTTGGTGATCCGTGTTTTGAAAAAAGGTATACATGGCCGCATACAAGGAACGGTAACCTTATACCGCTTAATCCGCATAAGCGGTCGATTATACCATATAAATATCCGATTATGCCACATAAACGCTACAGGGTAGGGTGTTCACATGAAACCACATATTGCTTTTCAAACCACTGGTAGTGATCAGCTATGGTTGTTGTGCTGGCAATCATAATGGTCCAGCTAAACTAGTATTTTGTATAGTATTAAATAATTTCTGCATGTGACAAATATTGGTGATGTGGTATTTGTGGTGGAAAGTAAATTAAAGTGGTGAGATGACTTGTACTGTGCAGTCTCCCATGACATACGCATGAGCAAGCTTGAGGTTGAAGAAAGTCCTTCTTTAATTTCCTTTGGACCAGCCCTTTGATAATCTGATTGCTTCTTGGCGATGGATTTTGAGGTAATCATGGATCACAGGATCATTAGTCAGACAAAAAATCAAAGTAGTTTTTTTTATTTAGGACAAGTGGTTTCGTGCAGGCTTATGTTCTTTTTGTCCAGGCATCCCCCCCCCAAAAAAAAGAAAAAGAAATGTATAATGTTGCTATAGGTGAAAACCAAGAAAGGGAGAGGATGAAGGGGACAGGGAAGAAAGGAATATAAAATTTGAGATATTGTTGAGGCATGTCAGTTATAGATAGATGATATATGTATTGGTGAGTTTGTTTTAAGTCTATTTTCATATATATCTTGGGTGGCTAGATCTTAGGAGAATAATTTGTGATTCGAATCATGATTCATTGTTCCCTACAAATTATAAAAAATGAAAAGAAATCAACATGTTTACGCCACGTGTTCATAGGCGCAAACATTGAGATAAACTATCAACATGTTCATAGGCTATATTATTACTTATAACGACAAAACCTGAACACCCTACTCCGCATTTAGACAATGCCGTTAAATTTTAAAATCTTGCATGACGACACCACAATTAATTATCTCAATTTAGTATTTCTTTAATAGAGGCCCTTCGCCAATCATTAGCACTTATTTTCCCGCGCTACATGTTGTACGTACTCGGTTCTCACGTCATCATGATAGGGTAGCTACTAATTAATTGTTCCGTGCAAGTTGGAGTAACGCCTATAGAGATCCGGACAAATACAATATCCCGCTCAACGTAACGGCTATGTACGGACTAGGGTTTGTTGTCCGAATCTATATACGACAAACCATGCACGTAGCCTAATGAGTTTGCTCGTAGCCTAATGCATGGTGACTCTAGGTGTTCTCTCCTCGTGGCAATACCCTCAGAGATAAAAATGAAGCATATCAGTTCTAAACATAAACATGAATAGAGGAGATATTTGCACCATTTCTTTCGTGGAAAAACCAGACGTACATGCATGTCTATCCCCTAGGCATCCTTACTGGTGATTCTTGAAGGTAAATGAGGCATATTATCACTATCTCTTTATCCTACATAAACATTAACAAAATAAATAAAAATACTTGCATATGTCTAATGTCTATCTTTGGAAGCAGAATCCGATGTTTATCTCCAGGTCCATGGACAGGTGCAGAAACATGAGTGGAAGGTACCAAGATAGACGCCACTTGTCAGCCAAGGTGGTGGACGCCCGACGTGAAGCTGCCCTCCACCGTCGGATCGACGAGGAGGGATCCAACGGCTCAGGAGGCCGTGCCCTCGCGTATAAATAGGCCCCCGGGGCCCAGTGCCAAGAGCCATCCATCCCTTCTCACGCCGCACACACTGCGGCCCCTGCATCGCTAGCGTGAGCGAGAACGAGAACGAGAGACGCACGTAGTGGTACCTTTTGCGAACGGTAGCGAGAGCGAGAGATCGCGTGGTTTTTTTTGATCGCTAGCTGTGTTAGCCATGGCGCCGGGTGCTGGGTCGTCGTCGTCGGCGAGGAGGGGCAGGCGCGTCGCCGCCGCCGAGCCGCCCCGCCGCGCGCTCAGGATGCGCGCGTCGTCGCCGATGTACTACACGTCCGACGACGAGGACTTGCCGGAGATTGTCCTGACGCCCCCGGCTCCGGCGCCGCCGCGCACCGGTACCCGCTCGCTGCGGATGCACGCGTCGCCGCCCGACTATGGGCGCCGCCGTACCAACCGACCCCGCCGTAAGAAAGAACGAACTCGATCGAATGCATGTTTCGGTTTCATTTCCGGTAGATCTGTGATTTGATGTGTCGTGCTTTGAGTTTTCTTGACGGAGATCTGATGTTTTAATTTGTTGTGTGTTTGTGTGTACGCAGGCGTGGCACGGACGAGGTCGCCGCCGGTGGTGCAGGAGGCGGAGAGGGAGCCGCCGGCGCCGCAGCAGCCGGCGGCGGTGGTGGTGGAGCGCGTGTTTTACATGGTGGGTAGCCCGCCGGACGTCATCACGGCCACGGGGGAAGGGCCGGGGGGGCGCACGGTGGCGGGCTTCCGTTGCAGGAGGCTCACGTCCACGCGCACCCTCGTCGACGGCGAGGACGCCGCCGCCCGCGCCGCCGCCATCAGCGGCGCCCGCGCCCTGGTCATGTGCAGCTGCCACGGCGCGCCCTTCACCCACGCCGAGTTCCTGCTCCACGCCGGCGGCACCGACCTGGGCCGCAACGTCACCGGCTACCCGTGGCTTGGCGACGAGATGGAGCTGACTCCTCCCGGCGCCGGCGGCCCCCATCTGTAGGTTCGCCGCGGAGGTGGCCAGCCGTCGTCGTCGACGACGACGACGACCGCGGAGTGGCGTCTGCGGCGGCGCGCGGCGGAGGCGGCGGCGAGCAACGCATGGTCCGGGGAGAGCTTTGATCTGATGCAGTGTGTCCGTTTTCAATGCCAGTCTTCGCTCTTAGCTACTTGCAGTTGACTGCTGTCTCAGTCTGACTGTCAAGTTTATCTTTAATTTTCGCAAGTTTACTTTCATGTTTCTAAATTATCAGTTGTAATCGTCGATCGATGTAATAGCTCTAGATCTCCCGGATCAATAATATGAAAACTGCATCTTTGTTTTTTAAGAAAATTTTGAGTCTATTGTTATGATGATGAGCTCTCTCTCTATAGCATATATGAATATCCATCGAACAGACAGATCTAACTATCACGGTTGAAATGGAACTTCCAATCATAAGAGATCCCATAAACGGTATATACATAATTCACCGATGTGACCAAGAATGGAAAATACATAAAGTGCAGTTATGAGAGAGAGAGAGAGAGAGAGAGAGAGAGAGAGAGTGAAACACAAATAATCCCGTCTGATGAGAAACAATGGAAACACAGAAATGAACGATTTTCGCATAGATGAGCACGTTCAAGAATGGCAAAACATTATTGCAATTAAGAGCCTACATCATAAAAAAGTTGCCACGCCACTGAAATACCGGAATACTACAACCCAATGATTTAAAATATTTACTGCCCGTCCCAAAAATGAGTGTTCTACACAAACCTAGACACACACACTGTCCACATTCGTATACAAAAGTAAAATATTTTTGTATGAAGATAACACTATAGAAACATGAAAAAGTTGTCACATACATATTGCAGCCCCCTGAATACATCTACAAATACAACCAAGAGCATATCCAATATTATCTTTTAGGAGGGTTCTTCTTCTTCCTCCTCTAATCCCATACGCATTCGTTCGAAAAAAAAATCCTCTACTTTTTTTATTTATCTTCATCTCTAACAAGGTAGGCGGATTGTGTCCCTAGCACTTACGTTGGATCCGCCTGACTACAAATATCCTCGTAAAAAAGGCTAAGCAGTACTGTACAACTGTACAAGTATCGCCCTTGTACGTAGTACAATACCGAGGCCAAATACGTACGCTTCTCACGCCTACCACCACACACGCCTGTATGGCTGTATCGCCAGGGCGTAAAACGTGAACGCCGTTGCATGCATCGTGCGCGGTGGGGTCCACGCGCGCCTGCCCCCTGCTTCCAAGTGGTGGGGCCCACGGATGCATGGTGACACGTGGCGGGTGTACACTCTCTTGGGCCTCGTGCGTGCCTACGTGTCCATGCAGATGTGGGCCCCATTACGTGTAGCCGCAGTCGCTGCGTGACTCGGTTGGAGATATCTCACGTCACGTGTGTTGCTCGATTCATTTCACACATCGTCAGTGTTTGGTTGTTCATGTAGTTGACGCAAACGCAACAAACTGTTAATTTACAGGTTATAACGGCTAGGTAGCTGGAGTAATATTAACAGGGTGTTTTAATTATTTTTGGCGATGCAAACAGCTAACTACACACTCTTTGGATGAATGTGGTTTATGTGAATTAATTCAGCCTGACCTCTGCAAATTAAATAGCCAAATATGCGAGCGTTCAAAATTCAAAATCATGAGAGGTAGTATATGAATGAACTGAATTGATTGTTATTTGTTTGTTTGTTTGTATATACGTACGTTGCGTACGTAGCGCTAGCCTTGCAGATACGATGATGTAAAAAGCTGGCATAATCGATGCACGCATGGAGTCTATGCTAGCCTGTGCAGATACATGGGATTTCTGGTGGGTATAGCTAATTCTATCTCGGCGAGTCAATGCTGTTCCTTTTTTTAAAGGTAACCGATGCGTGTACTAGCTGGATGTCATTTGGATTTACGCATATGAATATTTGAAGCCCCCACCATTTTGTTTAAAAAAAACTACAAGGAGAATATAAACTTTGAATAAAAAGTCCACTATAATATTATTATATTACGAAACTACGAAATAGCTAATGGCTCACTCAACGATGATCGAGATGAGTATGACATTGGTTATAGTATAAACATGCATGCATAAAGAGGGTGGGATGGGGGGAGGGTGCTAGGCTGGTAAAAGGCTCAACATGTTAGCCTATAAAACTGAAGAGTTTGATTAAAAATGGGATGCGCTGAATTTTTTATTTGTTTTTTACCTAGAAAAACAAGGGCTACGTAGGGTTGTGAAAAAACCCATACGTTTTGACATAGGTGGAGCTAGAAAAAAATAGCATTGGGTCACTCTTCACATACCATGGTGCAAATGCCTAACTGTAAGAGTGATTTATTAGTTCCAAGCATATTTAGTAGTTTAATTAGCAAAAATCATTGGTGTCATCTGACACCAGTAACTATATAGTGGATCTGCCCTGTTTTGAATCCATTACCACCCGTGACCATGGGAGCCTACACTAAAAAATATATATTATTTTACCCATTAATTATCTAAATGTAAAATACACAATGGAAATGTAAAATACACAATGGGATGTAAACAGTAAATAGAGAGTACAACAAATAGGGAAGAATTTGTTAGGGATACCAATACATGGTCTAAGAAAAATATTACAATGTACGGATGCATTCACCATTGAATGCATTTGATTTTGTGCCCTTCAATCTCCGTAACGGTGCTTTCTTTGAGAAATACATATATGGAACACAGATGAAAAACACAGAGTAGGGATTATATATAAAGTGGTGGAATTGAATATACCATAACAGTTGATGATTGAAAGAGAGGGAGGATGCTAGGATATATGGTCACGCACGTAATATTCTGGAGAGGGAACTTTTGGAGAAAGTGAAAGGTCGATAACACTCCATACCCGGTGTTTCGAAATATATGGAGGTGTGTCCAATTTAAAATCCCTCGGGTTTTAACACAGTCTTTCTAAATTTTCCGAAGTCCAATTTCAAATCCAAGCACTCAAGTCTGCCACAACCCAGGATGAAAGCTTTAAGCTCAAACTATAGAGTAACTTAACATTTTTCTTACAAAGCGACCACTCTCTCCCCCCTTCTCCTATTTCTATTATCGGGAATGTCATTTAGCATGTGTCTTTCTCGTTTTGTTGTCCAGGATGCATATGCTACCATTGTTGCTGGGGAGTCTACCAGAGCACAGATGGGATGGCTTCTGTTGCTTTGTAGCGCATACTCCTAATATTAGACTTAATTTGAGACATTTGCTTTTGATCCTGAACTATAATATATGAAAGATGAATTTTACTATAAGACACTAAAAGTTATATAATTTGCTGATGGATATCGATTGTAAAAACGTGTTACGACCGGATGGAGAAAATGGTAATTTATTGGGAGGAATTTATGGTCTAATTGTTGAGAGAAATCTTTACCCCTTTAAAAATGAGTAGTACTGATGGTATTGCATCATCCCCACCAACTCCCTATTTTTTAAGAGGAAAATGACGTGGGACTAGAGGACCCATATGTCAACCACCCCCACAACTCTCTACTTGTTGTAAGAAGAAAACGAAGGACAGTGTGGGACCAAAGGGACTACACATAAGTAACTTAAAAAGGGAGTAGTGATGGTGGTAATTCTATACCACCCACACCACTAACTCCATAGTTTTTTAGACGAAAAAAAGATAGGTGTGGGCTAAAGGGCTCACATGTCAATCACCGCCACCAACTCTCTACTTTTTGTGAGAATGAAAAAAAATAATGTTGGATCGAGTCTACATGCCAGTAACAAAGATATGTAGATGATATATGCGAGAAAAGAGAGAGAGAGAGAGAGGCAATAACAGGTAAATGATATCTTTGTTTAAAATTTCGTTGCAACGCACGAGCTTCTTTAGACATACAAGAATGTTTCTTGGGCCACAAGCATGCATGATTGCAGCTAGGATGGAAATTTTAAAATCATGTAACTCTCAATCCACCCCTATTACTAGCATACATCGTATTATATCTTCACCCAGTCTTAACTTAGAAACTTGCGGTCCCAGGGGCATTTTTTTAAGAATTTTTCTTTTCAATTGGATTGAAAATGTCCTCCATCATATTACAATTTTTAAAGTGTCTTACACATTTTTGTTATGACATCTATCATTAAATTACTATGTTTATATGTCTTACAGCTGTGAGACATTTTTTTTATGACACCTATCAACAAATTACATTAACATTAAAAGTTTCCTAGCAAAATGTGCTATTGTTAAAAACTTAAAATGCATTATTGCAATATCATGCATATATAGATATAGGCTAGCTAGCTGTGCTCAACGGCTTGGAGAGATTTAATCACGTACTTTACCCAAATCATTTCTCATCATGATGACATCTTTGTCATCTTGCAACTAATTAATTAGTAATCAACACTGTCACGTACAAATCGTCGTCCTTGATCGAGTGATCGAGCAGCAAGAGTAGATAGGCGCGTACATACAAAGTACAAGTTCCTTTCTAGCCAAGCAGCAATAGTACTGTCAGTGATATTAATTAGGAGTAAAAGATTAGCACAACATGTCGATCGCCTGCACGTTGTATTACTGCAATTTAATCCCCTGTTCTTGATACAACATCGTACCAAGTACAGCATTAGCAATATATGTTTTCAGGACACGTACTATATAGTGGGACGATGCCATTTCGGTCTCTTTGTATCCATCTTAATTTACCATTACGACGTAAGTACGCACTTCGCTGCAGTAGTTGTCAACTTCTGTCCAATCCACAATCCACTGCATCCCTGCATTCCCCAGCTAAATTCATCAGGAGAACATATCTTATACACAAATTTACCCTGCACAACAACTAACAAATATCACAAAAAAATTCTTTAAAAAGTTAAACATATACTTTTAATGATATTACACATATATGTGAAATGTCATGGTCTAATTCATTAGATTTTTTTTACTTTTTTTTTGTTACGGCTAAAATATAAAGAATTTAAATATAACACTTTGTAGATATGTGCAATACTATTAAAAGTACATATCGGATTTTTTTAAATTTTTTTTCGTGATATGTGCTACTCCCTCCGTCCTATAATATAAGAGATTTTGAGTTTTTGCTTCCAATGTTTGACCACTCGTTTTATTAAAAAAATTGTGCAAATATAAAAAACGAAAAGATATGCTTAAATTACTTTAGATAATAAAGTAAGTCACAAAGAAAATAAATAATAATTCTAAAATTTTTTAAATAAGACAAGTGGTTAAATAGTATAAGAAAAAACTCAAAATCCCTTATATTATGGGACGGAGGGAGTAGTTGTTATGCACGAAAAACTTGTGTGTATAGTGTATGTTTCCATTGATCCCAACCATTTTTACCATATTTCTTAATTACGCGTCACAGTATTCAGATGAAGCGTATATCGAAGACATACGCCTTCGTACGGCGAAGACGTATCACCCATTGGGGCGCACGTAGGAGATCGGGCCCCACCTGTCATCGTCACGCGCCGTTAAAACTTGTCGGTGCGCGCAGCGAAAAGGCCCCCCTACCCCCCACCCGAAAACCGCAGCCCCCCCCCCCCCGCCCCGCTAAAAATTATTCCACCTTTACCACTTACCACACCCTCACCAAACCCACCCACTTACACGTGGGACCCAGACAAGGTGGGCCCCACACGTCATTGACTCCCGAGTCGGTGGTGCCGGGTTCGCCTCGCCGCGCCACGCCGCGCGCCCCCGCCGCTCGCGTGGTCAGCTTTAATACGAACCCCCCCACCACCACCCTCGCTTCGCTCGCTTCACTCTCGTGGGCTTCGCTGAGCTGTGCGAGGAATCCAAACGAGAGAGAAAAAAGGAAAAAAAAAAAAAACAAAACAGCACAAGCAGTTGAAGAACACGGCAGCGGCGGCGGCGGCGACGACCACCGCTGCCGGGGAATGCGGAGGGGTGGGGTGGTGGTGGTGGTGGTGGTGGTGCGGGAGTAGCTGCTGGGATCGGAGGGAGAGATGGGGGTGTGGAGGGAGGGGGCGGGGTGGTGCTTCTGCTCGGGTGGGGGAGGGGGGAGGTCGGAGAGGGTCAAGGCGGCGATCTTCTCGGCGAAGGCGGCGGCGCTGGCGGCCGTCGGCGGGGGGCACGGCGGGGCCGGCGTCCTGATCCACCGCAACCTGCTGCTCACCACGCACGGCAACCTCCCGTCCGCCGCCGCCGCCGAGGACGCCGAGGCGCTGCTCGGCCACGCCCGCCTCGCCGCCCGCCTCGTTCCACACAGGTGAGCTCCCGCCGCTGCGAGATTTGGGATTAATTTGGTTGTGCTTTCTCCTCTTCCACCAGCCGCTGCGATTATTACAGAATGATTAGGTTAATTGAGATCTGCCTTGCTCTGCTCTGCTCGCGTCGCGGGCGGCAAGCGTGGCCACCGCCGCTGCTCGAGCGGGGCCCACGCGTCGGCGTTGCGCGGATTTGTCGGCGGTGGTGGGATGGTAGAGCTGTTCAGGGCCAGTGATGATTAGCCCCACAATGCAGATGATTAGGAGAGGGAATTGCTAGTCAATTGTGGGTGCTTAATTTGTGCTTGGTAGTTGGAGACTTTGTGGGAGATCGTCCTTGTGATCTTGAACAAGTGATAATGATGATGCTCACAAGCTGGATACTGCAGTGGGGGGGGGGGGGGGGGTGCTTTGTACAGTTGGATAGTACTAATATTTTTTTGTGTTAAAAGTGCTATTGGTATTTGGAGTAGGTAGGAAGCACACACCTTCAATACTTGGTTGTCAGCAGATAGAATAATCACAAGAATTACTGTGGTTCTGGGTAATTGTGTTTCTTTTCTTCGGTGGGAAGTTCATGAGGGACATCCAGGGAAAGTTGTGACACCCACAAGCAATAAGTGGCTCATGATAAAAAGCAGCAAAATTAGCTCAAGAAAGGTTCAAAGTATCTTGTTTTTCATTGGCTAGGTGAACTTTGTTGCTTTGTCAAAAACATTTTTCCTTTGTAAGTACTACTACGGTACTACCTCATGATTGTTGCATACATGCATGTTTTTTTTTTGGGATAAAATTGTCACTGCGTACTTATGTTGCTGTTTCCAGTTATATATATATATATCCTTACTTAGATTCTTTCTAAAACTTTATTTATCTGTTCAGATTCTTCATTACCAGCTCAATTCTTGACCTTACAATAGTCGGCCTTGATCCTGCGGAGAATGAGACAACCTTGCAGGCTCAGCAACCTCACTACTTGAAAACATGCTGCAAACCAAGCCTAGATCATGGAAGTGTTGTTTACCTTCTGGGTCACACAGGAAAGAAGGAACTTGTGATTGGGGAGGGGAAGGTAGTGATTGGCACAGATAACCTCTTAAAGCTCTCCACGGATGGGGTGACATGGTGCCCTGGCTCTGCTGGTTTTGATGCCCAAGGGAATTTAGCCTTCATGATCTGTGACCCCATGAAGTTGGCTTCCTCCCCCACCACAAGGTCATCTTCTACATCCTCATCTTCATCACATTCATCAAAGAAAGATCACCCAATGCAATTTGGTGTCCCCATATCTGTAGTTTGCGATTGGCTCTATCAGCACTGGCAGGGCAACTTGGATGAAGTTAGCAAGCCAAAGCTGCCCCTTGTTAGATTGATGTCCAGCAGAAGTGATCATTCAAGCACCTCCTTCACTCGTCGCCATGTGTTCAAGCCTGCAGATGATGAGAACGACGATACATCGGTTTCTTCACAAGTAACTTCGAAGCCTAAACATCAGCAGGCGTCAGGAAACTCGGCCAATGCAAGGATATCACATGATGCGAACCCTCTGGTTGATCTGCGTGCAAACAATGAGCAAGGGGTTTCTACTCCAGAGATATATGAATCACCCCGACAAAGTTCTTGCCAAGGCCAGAAAGATGCTGGTTCAGTTCAACTTCTGGATATCAACTTCCCACCTAGTGCTCCCAAGACCATCTTTCTACCGCTGCCCCTGAAGCAAATGCTTTCTGATGAGAACAACGCAGATACGTCCAAGCCTAGAAACCAATCCAGAGACAATGGCTTTCCATCGGGGATAATATGGCACCGTAATTGTGAGGCTCTTTCAAGGGATCCTCCAGTAGCTCCTCTGCAGGATGATTGCAGCAGTGAAGGGCAGTCGAGCTCGTCACCTGTTGAGCTACTGGAGTATCGAAATGAAGACCACTTCAGTAGCGAGGAGGAAACAATGTACTCAGCGGAAACCATGGAGAGCAGGAACATTCCAAGCCCCAGGGAGAAGCACGTCGGGAGGAGCCAGAGTTGTGTAACCTACAGGAGGTGGAGCTCTCCAAGGATGTCGACAATACAGAACGGAACCTTAAGAAAGCAGCACACCCTGGTCCCTGTGCGCAAGAGTCACTCGCAGAACACGAGTCTGCCACAAAGGAGTCATGACTACCTGAGCCCAACAGTATCCTCGGCTATGAAGAAGAGAAACTCAATGGAACAGCAACTGCCCACGAAGCCCCGGCGGAGCATTGCTCAAACATCTCCAAAATGGATGTTCTGATGAATTGATGGTTGTCTTCTTTGGTTTCCTGGTGGAATGTTAGTGCAGCATCAGCAAAGCATGCCGATTTTTGGTGGAAATTTGCTGCTCTCATGTTTTTTTCCTCTGTAAGTTGATGCTCGCTTCCTTAGTTCTTTCTCTACGGCATTGTGTGTGTGTGCGTGTGCAGAATGACTTGGATAAATAAAAGGAAAAAAAAGAAAGAAGAAAGAAAAGAGAAGTCCAACATAGAAGGTTTACAGATCAAATGTGTTCGAGGCATCAAGCCTGAGCTGTTTGCAAAGTGATGTATTTTGTTTGTAGGCTGTCTGGATGTAAATTGCTATAGCTTTGTACTGTAGTCTTGAGTTCACCAATTAAACTGAACATTCCCATGATTATCAATTCCTTTTTGGCCGAAACGTGCTGCTTCTATAGTTTGTTACTTTCTAAGGCATCGATGCTTATGTCCATTTTGCTTGCTGTTACGTTTAGGCATAAATTGTTTCTCCTAATTAATATATTGCAGCAGGAAAAGAAAAAACTAAGGTCCACAGATACAAAATGGTAACGCTCTAGCACGTTATCCTCGTGTGATCAGAATGATACTGAGGCTTAAAGAGCATGCCTTATTTTTCTTTTCTTTTCTTTTTCAAATTTTGCACAAAATAATGGCAAATTGGCAAGGCAAACGGTTTTCTGTGCTGCTATGCAAACGGATAGTCAACTCATTTTCTGCAGTGTTCAGTTCATCACTGACAGCCTGCCTCACCAACTTGTTCTCACAAAAGTAGGAGTACGTGCATTTGGATATTTCGGTTGGATTTTTCTGAAGCATCCTGTCTCTGAAACGCCTGGCTCAAGGAGTTTGGCAGGGGGCGGTCAGGCACCATTGGCAGCCTGATGCTGCTTCTCATTCCGATTACGATGACCAAGCCAGGGAATCAGGCCACATACTGTTCTGTACTTAAGATTTTGATATTTATATATGTTTAGTTAAACAACTCAGGGGGTGTTTGGGAGAGAGCCCCCTCTCTCAAAACCATAAGTCTCTAGGGAGTGAACATAAGTCCCTAAGCCCCTCTCTCCCAAACACTCCCTAGAGACTTATGGTTTTGTGTTCACTCCCTAGAGACTTATGGTTTTGAGAGAGGGGGCTCTCTCCCAAACACCCCCTCATTTCCCAGAATATGTGTGCGCAGACTTAATAATCTCAAACAATATCGAATTCAGATTAATTTCAAATTCAAACATGGAATGCTGAAAGCACAGAAGATCAAAGTCAACTTGACCGTTGAATCCAACTAAGAGCAAGTTTAATAGTATCGCCAACTCTTAGCTCCAAATCATATATAGTCAATTTAATAGCTAATTCATATAACAGTTACTTACTACACTATTAATACTTGATCCCACTACAGCTGGCTATAAATCTGTAGCCCGTTACTTTTCTCTCGTCTCTTTTATCTTCTTAGAATATGTTTATAGCTGATTTATAGTCCGTGTACCTGCTCTAAGCAAGCATCGACATGGTTTTGCTAAATTTTCTTGGTTTTGATGCCTTTCTGGCTCTCTGGTCGCTGCACATGGACTCGTGGAGATGTCATCGCCACTCTGTCCCACAAGATACAAGGGGGAAGAAACACAGATTGCTTAACAATTCGCATCAATTATGCTTCTTGTTTCACATTCTCGCCGTCGACGGGTGTTTCTAAGGGCCCATATCACATTTTGATCAATTATGCATCTCAAGTTCTTAACATGTGATACAGTTTAACATAATACCTTTTGTTTACACAAAGAAAGTAACTGAGACAAAGGCACACACTAGTCACTACCATCAAATATAAGTTTTGGTCACTCAGCGTTACAGTAGTACTAGTTCCAAGCAATAATGAAAAGTAGATAGATTCAGGCTGAGAAATAGAAGGATGAGGCATAAGCAAGAAGGAATTCAAGCTGGGATATCGGCATACTCACCATTGGAATTTGCTTTTCCCAGTTTCATGGACGTGCAAGCACAAACTAGTTGCAGTTATGCAGTATAAAGTCAAAAGTCACTTCACAATCATGGCCAAACTTCCATTATTCTCTTTAGAACTAGACTATTCCGTAGTATGCAGGATAGGCAACAGTGAGAGTGCAGGTATGATGGATGTAATAGGATGCAAGTTCAAGGACTCCTATTAGTTAAGCATCACCTATGAACAGCACAAGCCAAGTAAAGTTTTTTTTGTTCTGCTTGCTCGTATCGTAGATTGCTACCTTTAGTTACATGTAACTCAAATGGCCCATAGTCCTCAAAACCCCATGAAAATTGGGCGAACACAAATTTTTGGGCCTCTGTAACAATACAAACAATGTTTGCCACAAGAACAATACAAGCAAAACCAGAATCAGACAGTGTCTTCGAAATATCTTCATTGTTCAGGTAAACAAAATAGTATGCTTAGCTAGCTTAGGAACACGGCCTGACTATGATGTGTGTGTGGTGTTATCTTTTACTTGCCCGCAAGTAGAAATTCAATGTGCAAAGGAAAACTACAACTAAGCTAATCAAATAGTGTGAAGCAGCTGGCAGAAGGTGTGAAGCTGAATGGATAACTTGATGAATATTCATAGTTACCCATGTTAAAAATCACATGAAACCAGTATAATGTTATTTTTATGAATCAGGAAAGATGGAATAACTAAAGGAAGTGGAGGTTTCCTTAAAAGTTTAGACCAGCCAATATGTTCAGTTGCAGGAAAAGATATACTTCTAAGTTCCAAACCAGCAAAATAAAATCCCAAGTCATTAAGTCAAGCCTAGAATCCAGTGAAACATGTAAAGGGTCAAACAAGGCACGATGCCACTTAACAAATCACCAAGCAACATATCTTATGACCAGGGTAAGAGTCAAGCTCATACAGTAGTGGATCAATCAGACATATAAAAAAACACTTCAATACTTACATGTATTTACAAGAGGCCAGCATGAAAGAACATAGCTTCATCAATATGCTAACTGGTCCAAATCGAGCGAAGTGGTAAACAAAACATTGGTTTTCAGAGCCAGCAGAAAATTATATTGACGAGGAAAATTACTTTCATAGTCCATCATTTTTTTCCTGTAAAAAGCATACAAGCCTACTTTGCTTTCAATGAAAAGCAGGATCATGAGAAAACATATAAGAAAAGAAAAAGGTATATAGAAGATCATTCATTAACTTTGGTAATTTCAAAAATTTGATGGTCAATTATGACTTTCACATTCGACGACAAGTGATTGAGACTGGAGAGATACCATCCACCAAAAGGCATTGGATCTCAGCACTAAAAAAGACTAGCTGCGATAAAAGTCTTAACCACACATCCATATGAGAAAATCTAGGTAAAAAAAAAAAAACACGAGCAGAGGATAGAGACGCCGCAACAAAACCCCAATACCAATCTCCAAATCACCCATTTTTTTCCTTAACCAATTTCATTGTAGCAACTACACCAATACACCATATAACAATGATCACAAGAAGAAAATAGCTAGAAACAGTAACAATTGTCACTTAAACTAAGCATTAACGGGGGAGACATATATCCCTTTTCTCCTACCCCCACTCTCTCACTCTCTACTACTTTCGCTATCACTCGCAATATTTAAATGATACTCCTCTCATCTTCAAATTCTCATCACTCTCAACAAATTCATCGCAAGAAGCCAAGAAGCAGATGATGAGGAGCACCTTTTTCTTAGAGGTTGCAGCCGAGGCAGTCGCAGGACTTGGGGGTGAAGGAGCAGAAGCCGAAGGGGCGGTTGGGGATGTTGCAGTTGATGGCGTAGCAGCACGGGGAGAGGATGCATCCGCCGCCCCTGGATCCTCCGCCTCCGCCTCCGCCGCCGCAGCAGGTGCATGGCGCGCAGAGCTGGAAGCTCCCCAGCCTCCGCCGCGTCTCGTTGAGCACCATCGCGCTGAACCCCCCGCCCCCCTCCACCACCGGCACCATCCGCGCCACCTCCACCTCCTCCCCCGCGCCGCCGACCTGCACCACCACGACGACGACGAATCACAACTCGGAATAACAAAGCCGCTCGCCCCCCACCACGGTCTGGGTGGAGGAAACGGGGCTTACCTGTGAGGTGGCGCTGCAATTGGAGGCGGCGAGGAGGAAGAGGAGGAGGAAGAGGAAGGTGGACGGCGGCGCGGTGGGGGTGAGCATTGCTGGCTGGCTGCTGATGCCCGCGTCGCTCCCTCTGCTTGCTAGGGTTTGGGAGGAGGGTGGGATGGATTGCGATGGAGTTGAGGTGGGAGATTTGGAGGAGGAGGATCGAGAGAGGGAAACGGGGAAACGGTGGAGTGGAGTGGAGTGAAGTGAGAGAGAGAGTGTCTTTCGAGGAAAGGAAAAGGAGAGGAGACGACTTGGACGGAAACGAGATTTGGGGATGCGATGCGATGCATACTATCATCGTCGAGTCATCGGTTCAGCACTGCGGCTGCGCTGCGCGCACACGACATGATGATACCAAAGCTGAACCAGCTGTCGTCATGCTACGTTTGCTCATCTTTTAGAGCAAGGCTGTGTTTAGATTAGGGTGAAAATTTTTCATGTGTTACATTGGATATATACGAACATATATTATATATTTAAAGTATTAAACGTATATTAATAGCAAAACAAATTACAAATTCCGTCTGTAAATTGTGAGACGAATTTATTAAGCCTAATTAATCTGTCATTAGCAAATATTTACTATAGCACCACATGGTCAAATCATAGAGCAATTAGATTTAAAAGATTCGTGAACAATTTACACGCAATATGTGTAATTAGTTTTTTATCGTTTATATTTAATACTTCATGCATATGTCCAAACATTCGATGTGACATGGTGAAAAATTTTACCAGGGGATCTTAATAGGCCCCAAGTTTAATAGTATAGTCAACTACTGGTTCCAAATCATATATATAGTCAATTTAATAGCTAATTCATACAATAGTTACTTAGGGTGTGTTTGAGAAGAAGGGGATTGAGGAGATTGGAGAGATACGCAAAACGAGGTGAGCCATTAGCTCATGATTAATTGAGTATTAACTATTTTAAATTTCAAAAATGGATTAGTATGGTTTTTTAAAGCAACTTTCCTGTAGAAATTTTTTACAAAAAACACACCGTTTAGTAGTTTGAAAAGCGTGCGCGCGGAAAACGAGAATAAATCTCCCCAGAACGAACAGAGCCTTACTACACCATTAATACCTGATCTCACCTGTCATACACACATTGTATCTTAGAGTCTGTGCTGCAGCTAGCTGCAAATCTATAACTCGCTACTCCTTTTTTTTCCTCTTTTATCTTCTTAAAATATGTTTATAGCTGACTTATAGTCTGCTATTGTACCTTTATAAAAAAGTTTGAAATAAAAAAAGTACTTTATCGTTTTTTTAAGAAAATCTTAAATCAAATAATTATGAGTAACTTGCATCATTAGTTTCTAAAACTTTGTATAGTTTAGCATTACAAGATCTACAGATACACCTTATAAAATAGGCAAAATTTGCTACAGGACACTAAAAAATCGTGTAATTGGCTGAGAGACATCGTAAAAATGTGACACTGCTGATGGACACTACAAAAATTATGTAATTGGCTATAGGACACCGGAGGCATTATTTTATAATTTCCGGAATGAATGAGGGGAGAGAAATTTCGAAATGACGAGAATGCCCCCATCTAGGCCTCTACTCCTTTCTTCTTGATGCAGCCGACATGTGGGCCCGTGCACAGTGTCGTCGTCCACCTCTCACCAGCGCTCGACGCCAACTGACGCCATTGCATCCATTCCAAAATCCGATCAATCCAGCGAGATAGTTAGCGATGCCCACTCCGGTGGCCGCCACGAGGCAGCGCTTCTCGTTGGCCGCCGTCCCCACCCTCGACGCCGCAGCCGCGTCCACGCACAGACCACCTCATCTCCTCCCTCCTCACCCCGCCCACGCCTCCCCTCCTCCACGACGCCCTTGGCTTGTGCCCGTAGCGCCGCCGTCTCCCTCAACAGGCTTCCCTCTGTCTCCGCCTCCACTGACAAGGCCCCCATCTCCATCCTCAATGACCTCGTCATTAGCTGCGTCTTCGCCGAGGCTGGATTCCACAGTGGGGACATTAAGCTAGCCATCCTCTGCCCAGCTTCGCCCATGCCGCTCCTCGGCTGCCTCCCCATGCGCACCCACCCGCTGCCTCTCTTCCTTTGCAGCTTCGCTGCCACGGATGATGTCGACGTCCCTTCGCCGGTCGGGAATATCGTTGGCGCCGGGCAGGAGAACTGTCGCCGCATCGCCGAGATCCTCTCCCGTGGCTGCAACTCCCGCGGCCGTCAAAGTCAAGCTCTCCCAGCTTGTCCTCGCCATCCTCTCCCGCAGCTGCATCGTGAAGAAGGAAATGAGTAGAGGGGGAATGAGTCGAGGGGGGCATTCTCGTCATTTCGAAATTTCTATCCCCTCTTTCAGCCCAAAAATTATAAAATAATGCCTCCGGTGTCCTACAGCCAATTACACAACTTTTGTAGTGTCTGTCGATAGTGTCACGTTTTTGCGGTGTCCCTCAGCCAATTACACAATTTTTGAGTGTCCCGTAGCAAATTTTGCCTATAAAATACTCCCTCCGTTTTATATTATAAGTTGTTTGATTTTTTTTTCATAATGACCTAATCAAACTTCTTTAAATTTGACCAAGTTTGACCAAGTTTATAGAAATATATAGTACTATTACTATTTTCAGTCCAAAATAAGCATATTATCAAAACATATTAGATTAAATGAAACTAATTTAATATTTTATATGTTGCTAAGTTTTTTATAAACTTTATCAAACTTAACCAAGTTTAAATTGGAAAAAAGTTAAACGACATAATATGAAACGGTGAGACCGTGAGGGTACTTTTATAATGTGTAACTTGCTTGATGTTAAACTATACTAATTTCTCAGAAACTAATGGTTAACGGTAGAAATGTTTTAATTAAGATAAATATCCTCCGTCTGGTTACAAGTAAATATTGCTCTTGACATCAACACGGTCGTCAGGACACTTATTTATTATAAATGATAAATACATTTTTTTAGTATAAAACATGTAAAAGATATGAAAGTTATACTCGTACCATCTTCAAAAGTTTAATTGAGATTACCCATAGTTCAAGTTTAAACGTCTTGATTGTATATATATTACGATTCGTCACTTATTTCTTTTTTTTAATTACACAGTATAACGTAGACACTCATAATACACGCACACTTACTGTTACAAAACCGGCCCGATGTATACCTCGGAAACCAAACCGCGGAAGAAAACGTCATAGGAGATCCAAACACGATGACAACACCGAGGCACGATATTTGATAACGGAGTTCAGCCGAGGTCTACATCTCCTGAGCACTGATTATAGGCGCTCCTTCCTGATCAAGCATATTACAGCGTATCAAAGTTACAACGATTCATGGCCGGTCGCCATCGACAGCCGCTCCCTCTCGCTATGCTAAATCACAATGCGGTTACAATAGGCACGTGCTCTCTATTTATGAGAGATCTTATGACAGAGTCTGACTTTTACTTAGTCCTAATGCCAATTACAACTCCAAGTTCTAAACTGTAACCGACTACATATATATATTCGACACAAACTATAGCACTCACCCCTATGAACACACGCATACAAACCATATCCCTATGAGCATCTTTAAAGACTGGGCCAACAAATCCTTAAGATTGACGAAGTTACCATGGGTACATAATTGTCTTGTCGACGAGTACGTTAAATTCTAAAAGTACAATACCGTTAAATCTTGAAAAAATCGTTTTAATAGGAAGTCGAACCAGTATCTAAGAATGGAGTAGTATATTGATGATCACATTGTACAATCAAAACTCGGAAGGGAGAAAAAAAAAAGAACTGTTCTCATCAATTATACTCCTGATGGCTATCTCGGAAAAAAAGTGATACTGTGCTGTGCTGATATGTTGTGTTCAGTGTGGACTTGGGAAGTGGGCAATCTCCCATGAACTTTAGCGGCGACAAGTTAGCATGGGATGCATGGTGACGCAACGGGTGGCATCTGCTTCCAGTGGATTATGTAAAGTGGTTTAAAAAAAATGGTGCTAATTTCCACAGTGTGGTTTGCAGTATCACACTGTTAACTAATCTGTACTTCCTCCGACATATAAAAAATCAACATACTACTACTGAATGTGATATATTTTAGTGCTACGAATCTTAATATAGATTCGTTGTATTAGAATGTATCACATTCAGTTTTAGATTTGTCTTTTAAGAGTATGGTTATCGCGTACCACATATGGTAACTTTCTTGGTTTTAAAAAAATATTCGTTATACCACCGAATAATAGTTATCCTCATTAAAAATGATAACCTTTATTAAAATGATAAAGGAAATCCTATATGGGATGGACATGACTACACAGCTAGTGGTAACTAGTTTGTCTAAACCAGCTACCACTCCATCTATGAGACACTCTATCCACCTATAATTCAAATAAAATTTTCTCTTAAACTACTCATCTGATCTACGATCCGATTACACCGTTGTGTTCGTAATAATTAAATCTTTATAATAAGATCTCACATGATTATATTTTGATAAAAAATCACAAATTACTTTTATGAAATATCTAAATTACTTTTAGATTTCACTAAGTTACTTCTTAGACATATAAAAGTAAATTCAGCAAAGTCTAAAGGTAATTTACATATATTATAGAAGTAACTGAGAGCAAAAGAAAGTAACTTTAATGCATGCAGTTTTCATTGGACATGACTATACAGCTAGTTGTTGCTGGTTTATACTCTATCTAGTGTCTCATTTCAACTTGAAAATTGCAATAGTATGTATCTTATGTGTGTTGAAGTTAACATTGAACTTACTTTTAAAATTTGTTAAACTTATGTGTATTGATCTGTGCTGATTAAATAAAGTTTTCTATATAAATTCATATTTTATCCCTACAATGAATTTATTTTTAATGTCGTGATAAAGTTACTTCCGTTTTGTTTTAAGTTACTTTTATAATATATATAAATTACTTTTAGACTTTATTAAATTTACTTTTATATGTCTAAGAAGTAATTTAGTCAAATCTAAAAGTAACTTATTTATACGATAAAAGTAACTTACGTATATAATAAAAGTAATTTACAAATATAAATATTTTTTTCATTGTAATATAATCATGTAAGATCTTGTTGTGAAGATTTAATTGTAACGAACACAATAGTGTAATTGGATTGTAGATCGGATAAGTAATTTGAGAGAAAACTTTATTTGAAGAGAAAAAAGGCATACATGTCTATCTCAGTCCTTCCTGCTACGTGGTTGTGTCAGCCTATCTGCAGTAAAGGACCAGTGGAGAAAGCGATAACGTAAGCCGAAAATAAATAGATAATG